GGACCGGTGATACTGCTCACCGATGGAATACAGAACCTGCGGCTAGATGGACTTCTGACATTGATCGCAATTACCCACGGAAACTTGGGAGGACTAATGAAACTGGCACGTTGTCCAGAGCAGATGAAAGAGAGAGTGAGTAACTTGGATATGAAGAAATCCATGGACTCGTGGAACAAGATAAGAGACCTGAGACACACTCTTATCCAATATCTCTTACAACAAAATCGCTTTGGAACGGGAGAAGACGAGACGATTGAAAGAGAGGAAGATGTTAGACGACATGTTGGAGGCATGCCACTGTTAACTGATCTGAGCTTGGCTATGAGAACCGATCCCTTGGCGCTGATCAGAGGAGTCACGGAGTTCGTGACAGTGATCTATGGACCAGCAGTCACGTTTGCGTTCCCTGGCGTTAAAGTGGAAGCATATAGGAGGTCGGTGCTGCACCTGAACCTCATATCGGCAGTGGACGGTAGTACACTGAACTGGTGTGAGCAGCACACATTGCGGGAGCTCATGAGTGAAGATCTGTTATTTGCGAAAATATCGGAGCCAGAGATGACAGTCATCAATTTTGACGATCTCTTCCGTGACCGCATGGGAGAAGTAGAAAGAGGACACATCGAGGTGTTTCCAAAGCTTTGGAACCTGAGACCCAATGATAAAACGAATGGTGAGATAACCAGAGTGCCTCGTCTCACTGCAGCATATCACAAAGTGAGAGAAGAGACGAAGGACTGGGGCGATTACAAGAAGCTGCCGGAGGCAATCCCTGAATTCCCCCTGATAAGAAGGATGTTGCTCGGAATAGTCTCCGTGGTACAAACTCCTAGGTTGAGAGCATTCGAAACCAATGAAAGGAGAGTAGGGAATTTCGTGGGAACGATGGATCCATACTTTGTAGGGAGAAATGCCGCCGTGTTACAATACACACGATTTGCATACACGGATCAAGCGACGAGAAAGCGAATAAGCAACGCCGCTACTCCCAAGCCTGGAAGATTTGATGAGGAATGGAAGGGATTAGGCTTAGCTCCGATGAGAATGAGAGGCAGGACCGAATTGCCTGAAGCCTCATTAATGTTGACTAGTGTAAAACAGGAGATGAAAGTGGGAGGAATACTGCAGACGAGAACCTTCCTAGCACCCTTCGGCTCTGAAGAAATCAAAGTGGTCCATGGAGAAGAGGAAGATGAATCGGCCGGTACATTGCTCATACCGAGATTCCAGGGAGAAGCCGACAATGACGAACAAGGACCATCGAGCTCGAACAAGGATAAGTCTGAAGGAAATGACGGACAGGGTGGAAGCCGTCAAACCGAAGAACCCATGCAACAAGATCAAGCTGGTGGGGAAGACGACAGGGCATCGACAGGAGGAACATCCAGCCTGGATTTCAATATCTTCAGTGATCTTGATAACAATGCAGATACGTTGGAAACGACTGAGCCAGCGGATGAAGGCATCTCGACACTGGAGCCTCCGTCAGCCTTTATGGAAATGAAACGGAATTTGCCGGAGAGCAGCTCTCCTGGCAATTCAAGTAATAACGACCAGAGAATCCTCATGGAATCACCTCGGAGGAGAAGAATAGAGGCCTCAGCCAGAGTACCTTTCTTGGGAACGCTGCCCGAAGAAGAATGGGAAGTTCATCACCGAGACCACGAGAGTAGGACGGGATGCAAGCTGGACAGAGTGGCGTTTATGGAAGAAGTCTGGACCGTGGTTCAAAGCTATGGGACCCAGTCTATTCTGAAAACGGGTCTCAACCAACCCTTGATGAGAGAGGTACTGGACAAGCTTGATGAGTGTGAAGGGAGACTGAGTGAGTTGTTGATCGACTCAGCCACTGATGAGAGTGAAGCGAACTCTCCCATCAAGATGACACCGCAGGACGATGAAGGAGAGGTGGTGTATCTGTCAAGAACCAGGAGAGGGACGATGCGATCAAAAATGGTGATTGATAAAATCAATGCGATGAAAATGAAGTTAGGCAGCAGAGTGATGCCGAGGAGAGTTGGAAAGACGAAGGTGGATTCAGAAATATCGATGAAAGCTGGTAACTCAGCGAAAAGGAAACGAGTTGAGGAGGTCATGGATTTGGGGCAAGGTGATTATCAATTGTCTGGCACAGATAGATTATTAACTGATATAGCGATGGTGCCACCCATTCTCATGGCGGAGATAAAGTCAACTGGTTATAAATCCAAAAGGAGTGACCGCACTCTGACTGGAGCAACCTTAGAAATGGAAATACTCAGCCAATGTGAAGGGAGCAAAATGAAAGAATTCAAGCCATCTCCCATGAATCATGGAAAGGGAAGTGTCGCAGGACAACTAACACCAGTGGAATACAACCGACTGACAGTGTCGGAGACTGTGTCGATAGATGAACCCACCGGTGGATACATGGAGATGTTGGAATACCGAAACTCGGCTAGAGGGTATGTAATGGCCCTGGAAGACGAAAAAGCCATGGAGGGTTATCTGGAAACGATGTTGCAAGGCACCACCCTCAAGCAGAAGGCGTACGGGACTTTGGCGTCGTCTGACATACAGGCGGAAACGATCGAGCAGTTAGTGAGCCTTCCATGGAAAGCAGTAGTGTTGAGGTATTTCGAAGAAGAAATGAGGACTATGCCAAGAAATCATGCTCTCATGGCAGTACCTTACGTAAGAACAGAGTTACAACTCAGGTTCGCCTGGTGCATGATGGGACTGACTCGCGAAGAATATGACTCAGAGGAAAGGAAGAGATCAAAAGAAGAAAAGGTTTTCCTTATGACGAATCTGAGGGATCTGATAGTCCAGGAGGGAGCAGCAGTAGCGTGTGCGAAGCGGAGAGACGCTCTCTGTTTCATTCGATTCCTGATAGAGCAGATTTCAGTACCTGCATTAAGCACTTGTGTTAAAATGTTGAGGGAAGGCCATGAGCGAACGAAAGCCTTTTTCTTGCTAGCACTGCTGGATATGCAGCAAAGTAAACCGATGAGGTGAACATGAGAGTTGGAACCCATGAAAAAGATAGACGAAATCAGGAGATTCTCAAACAAGGAGCTGAGACTCACTAAAGAATCTATGGGAGCATTGCCGAAATCCAGTGAATACTGTGAACCGATCAAGAAGAAATCGTATGGCTACGTATCCGGGATCATAGGGATCGCGTACAATCCTTTCCTGAGTGAAGACATACGCGATTGCTTCTTCGATTATGAGCAGGCGGTGTTGCTAAGATTCTGGACGTCCAGAATTGTAATGATTAAGAGCGTTAACAACCCACAGGCCAAATTGGGACTGGTCTTGGAAGAAGAGGTGACTGCACCTTCAGTACCAAAATCCGACAAAAGAGTGGAGTTTGGGTTGGGATTCTCAGATGAATTACTGAGAACGAGCTTGATGACAGGGTGGGAATTGATGAGGCCATCATGGTGTCCTAGTCCCAACGCTGACTCAATATTACGGGCGACACAAGACGTACAGAGGGAACTGAATGCAGACTGTAACCTGCGTGACCTCAACATCATATATAATGTGATGATAACAGCTTCTAAGAGCAACGGAGAAGATAAAGTGGAGTTGCCTGGCTGGGGACCAGAAGACTGGGTCAAACCTGGTAGCTGTCTGGCGGAAGTCTGTGGACTGGAGGGTCACGTTTGTGGAGGTTTGGACTGTGTGAAGACCCTGGAGAAACAACACAAGCAATTGACGGTATTGTTTGGAAAGGTAGTGATGAAAGCTAGAACAGAAACGGAACTGATAGCAGATTGCCATGGAGGAACCGATGTGAATCTAGTGACTGCACTAGGATTCTACAGCATGTTTGGTTCTTTAGAGTCACTATTGAATCTGGAACAGAAACATGAGGTGGTCACAGCCATCAGTGTAGAAGTATTCCCAGGAGTTCTGCAGACTGAACAGAAATACATAGGGAAATGGAGGGAAGCAATCGAGACAGAAATGAACATCAGACACAGCGAGACTTATTGTAGACCATCAGGAGCACGATATTTGGTGGGTTCAACGTTGACTCCAATGTGCAGGAGCAGATATCCTGTACATTTCGTGGCTGTGGACGTGAAGAGTACAAGAACGATCGTGGATCAAGCCTTCTCAGTGCCGAAGTGTGTGAGATTGGCGAGAAAGTCTGAAAATTCTTACGAGTTACTATGTAAGATGTTCTCAGCAGTTCCGGAGATAACCAAAAAAGAATTGGAGTCATTACTAGGAAAGAAGTTCATGGGATATGTGAGTGGGAACTTCAGTGACTTTGAGAGACAGAAACAGAGAGGATCAACTGTCACAGATTACAATGCAGTAGAAACTAAGCAAAAAACGGAACGAATCATTCTCGGACACATTAAACTTTAAATGAATAAAAATAATTTTCGCACTTCTTAGGAGTGCAATCCTCTGCCCTTTAATTGAAAAGGACTTAAACACTTGTCATCTCCTTTTATCATTATCACTTCCATATCTAGAAAATTCCAAGGATTTTGACTGGAATACGTGATGAAGGGACTCCTGACTGTAACCTCGGTTACTATGATACTTTTGACCTTCTGATTAGATTGAAAATAATAAGAAAAACAAAAAAGAGAAAAAATCATCTGCCTCAGGGGGTGCTAAAAACTTAAAAATACATCCAACATAGACAAATCCATCTGTGCTATAATCGAGGAGGGTAGATTTTAATTGACAATTCTCTGGATGCTTTAAAATTGACCTGATAGATTCATAAAATTTTGCCGATATCTTTATATAGCATTGGTATGGCCCTATCCAACCTGTGCACGGACCGTCGCATGACGGAAGGGCCCATTTTAATTGAAACCCTTTTTTTCTATGCACATTATATTTTACTCTTCCATATCTTGAGAATTCCGAGGATTTTGACTGGATAATGTGTTGAAGGGACTCCTGACGTTAACCTCGATTACTATGATATTTTTGTATTACCAAGAAATCGTAATTTGTCTGATGAACCATTGTTTTGTTTTAGATCATGGGGATTTCAGGTCTATTGCCACTTCTGAAAGAAGAAACTGTGGCTGTGAAATTGTCCCAGTACAAAGGTAGGTTGTTGAAACTGAAAGAGAATCCTATTTTTGTTGTTGTTGTTGGTGCTTATTGTTATACGGATTTAGGATTGACGCTTGTTGTTGACATATCATGCTGGCTACACAAAGGATCATATGGGTGTGCAATGGAACTCGCTCAAGGCCAGAAAACTGATTCGTAAGCATCTTCAATTTGTAGTTGCAGTTTTGCAGTAAACATCAGACAACGTTAAAGCAACCAGGACAAAATGCTATTTAAGGGCGCGTACCCACGGAGCCGCTTTCCCGGATAGCCAAAAAAACTAAATACCTTGGGTTTTAATTTAATTAATCAGAAAACTCTTCACTAAATTAAGACACATTTTGATTGGATAAAAAAGTGCCTCAAAATTTTGCAGCCTGTTAGCTAACAAAATTCCGAACATTTTCAAGAGATATGATTGGCTAATACTTCTACTCTCATTGAATTAATCAACAAAAAAAGCCCGGCTACTACAGGGATTCGACCCCCTCACCAACCAAATGGTCACTCTGGTATTTTTTATGATATCCATTTTCGGGCGACAAACCCTAAAATTTTTCAATAATAATTTTAAAGGGGTTTACCAGCACACGCTGAAAAACGCATTTTTTGTTATCAAAATTTTTCGAAAAGTTAATAAAACGGCTTTTTTGGCTTCTTTTTCTGAACATTCCCCCCTCGAGAAAATTCTAGATCTGCCCCTGCATTGTCATTATAATTTCGGTTGGGGGCCCTTTATTTAGGCCCTCAGTTTGGGGGCCCTTAATAGTTTATTTTTTTTGTTTGCCGGGCATGGTGGGTAGGGGGGGGGGGGGGTGGGTAATTGGGTGGAGGGGAAAGGGGAAGGAAGAATGATGGGACTAAGTGGGTGGGGGTAGAGAAAGGGGGTACCCCAAATAAGAAAACAAGGTTTTTCAAGTAAGTTTGTGAGATCTCTTTAACTATGGAGGGGTAGGATATTATGGTATCCCCATGGTACTGGTACCTAGTAACGAATCTCTCTCCCCACCTCCCCCCTCTGCCCCCTGTTAAGGAATTGGTGAGGGGGTAGAAGGGGGGTAATTCACGTTACTACTTCTACATAAGTAACCGTGAAAAACAAAACTTAGATACAGCAAAGTACCTCATGGATTCCTAATGAAACTATCCGATTAGATATGTCTGTTCACTCCCATTTGGGCTGCATAAATAAGAGAAGCATCGGCCGAGAGGGAATCTTTGTGTGAAATGTATAGTTCTGTTGTTAACTTTTGCTTGGAAAAAATTAAAAGGAATATTGCAAGAGTAATAAGCTATTTTTTGTTTCCTTATCATGCTTCTTTGTTTGTTTTTCGAGGTCATTTATGCCGACCAATTACTTTCTGTTAGAAAATTAAAAACTTATTGCAATTTTTTTTAAATTTTTTGATTCAATATTCAATTTTTTTTATCAATGCTTGGTGTTCGATTTTTTTTCGGTTCCGAGAGTTGTGCGCAGTCAGCTTAAAGCAACTTAGTGTCAATGTTTTTTGAGCAGTTTCATTTTAATTTCATTCAAGATGATGAAACAGCGTATTGTTTTAATGCCGAATTTTTTTCAGCTTTTTTATCAAGTTTCGTTGGGAATTTTGACCAGTAGTTTGATTAATTCAATCAACCATCTGGCGTAGAGGTATCACATCTGCTTGTGACGGCAAAGGCGTTTGATTCGAATCCGGTTGGGACCTGTTTTCTTGCAACTAGATTTTTTTTTTTGCTTTTTCGGGTTAGTTCCTGCAGAAAGGACTTTTTTGGTAGTTCGGCATTCCGAAAGTTGGTAGAATTTCTTGCATTCAGCCAGCTACTGTTTTCAGATTTTGATTTTTCTTTTCATTTGAATTAAATCATGGTCATTCATTTTTCTATCGTAAATGCTGAAAAGCTCGGCATCGCCTCTGTGTACAGTTTTGATTTTTTGCAGCCTTTACTTGAACTAATTAGTATATGCTAAATATTTGTGCTCAGTTTGAGTATGATTGCTGTGCTTCATTGCTATTAAGTGATTTAGTTGCGCGTATGTCGTCAGCTTTGTTGATGCGTATTCAATTTAAATGGTTATATGTCATTTTGCCCCAAGTCAACTTGTCCCAGCCCAACTTGCCCCAGATGACATTTTGTCCAATGCCATTTTGTTCCAGATAATAAAAAAATGAAACTTGCCCCAGATTCTTTGCTATCCTCGTAGAACATAATGTTGGCATAAAGATGAAAGATATTTTGTTAACAATGAAGCTTGAAACAAAATGGGGAATCATCAAAACATGTGCTGAATCAAAATGAGTTCAAAGCATGCATGAACAAAATGAAAGCGGCAAAATTTCAAGGCAATTTCATGTCGAGTTAAACCTTTCAAAAAATTGAGTGCTGATCTTGTAAGCTCCTATAGCATAGTTTATAGTGCACAACACTCTTAATCAAGAAGCCAAGAGTTCAAAAACTTGAAGAAGTCGAAAAATATTAGTATGAAATTGGTGAAATGGAAAACCGCAGTTACTGCCTGGCCCCTAAAACCCCACTATACTGGGTAAAATAGAGTAGGGGCGGGGTGAGGGAAAGAGCAAAACTATTGCCGTATTGGCCTTTGTCACCTCTCAAAATTTGGACCCTGTATGATGGCTATAAGTTGAAAAAATGTTGATTTTTAAAATCAATTAAAAATGCAAGGCAATGCCGATAATTAAGTAGAAATTATACCGGCAATTTCAAAATTACGAAAGAGTTAAATGTGCTAGTGCATCAAAATAATCAACAACATTGTTTTGGGTTTTTATGAATATCCCGATATTTCTTCCGCCCTTGATTCTGCGTTGCCCCCATAGCCTTCAAAATGTTGATTTTATGATTTGTTGAGCTCATTTGAATCTTTTTCAGGAAAGTGTAGAGGCTTGGGTGGCTCCCTTAAGATAATTCTGTCACTCTGAGATGCCTATCTTCAACGGCGTTTGTCGTTCGTATCAGCCTTCCGCTGCTTCTTGGGAATGGTTTCAGAGACTCATAGGGAATAACCGTTGCCTGCTGTTTCGCCCTATTGTTTCGCCTTTTCATATAACTTCTCTGAGAGTTATTTAGGATTTCTTTAAAGCCAGCTCGTTAGCTTTGCGTAAAAAGGCCTGGCAGAGGTGAAAGTAACAGCCTTTGATTGAAAACTCTGTGTGTGCGTGTCTGTGTTTTGAGGGCGAGGGGGACCTAATAACTTCTTATTAGTCTTAAATTATTATGATTATCATTTGTTTTTTCGGGTAAATAGGTTTCGCCATTATTATATCGGAATAGTGGTCGCATGTTGTTTCATTTGACGCGTGAATAAAGTTTGTGTGTGCGTGTATGGGTTTGTTTGTTTGTTTGGGGGACTTGATAAGTTTTAAAAAAATCAGGCTAAAGGGTTTCTGCTAGAATATTTCCGGCTTTGTTACCACTTGATAACTTTTATTTCGATGCTAGTTTCACATTCTACTGTCTTGGCTCATTTTTGGTTTAAAACTACCCTATTTGATAGATCTAGTTTTTAAGAAGTTTTCGAGTTTGTTTTCGACTTAGCGGCTTTATTGTTTTGTATCGCTAGTGGTGCGAAGCTTAGGTTCGTCTCTGTGTATGAAATTGAGCTCTATATGAATCTACAGGTTCCATGAGACTCATAGGGAATAGCGGTTGCCTGCTGTTTTGCCTTAGTGTTTCGCCTTTTATATATCTTCTCTGAGAGTTATTTAGGCTTTCTTAAAACCCAGCTCGTTAACTTTACGTAAAAAGTCCTGGCAGAGGTGAAAGTAACAGCCTTTGATTGAAGACTCTGGAAACGCAGTTGTAAAAGCGTTTACGACGGCTCGTTCCAAATCTAGAAGGATCCTCGATTGTTGCGCGTCATCAGAGGCGATGGCTTTCAGAAGCGAGGGCATGAACTTTATTTCGATCACCGAAAATATAAATTCGCTCAGTATCCATTACTCCACTGCCGGATAAACAGAAATCAGAATGTTTCGTCGGAATTAAGAAATGCCTGTCTTTAATGATTGACAAGGACGGGACCAAGTTCTGTTTCTGACGGTTTTGAGTTCTGTTTATTGCTGCACGACTGGGCAAAGATAATTGAACTGCTTTATCATCTGTTACTTCCTGGAGACAAGAGGCCATTATACTACTATTGACAGGTACAATTTGCTGCCTCGCCTCTTTTTTCATTGGACGCATGATCTGTTTTGCCACAATTTCCACAGGTCTAACATCGTGGCTGTGCTAATTTTTTGTTGATACCAGTTGATCTCCTGCTGTGACGGCGAGCATGCTGCATTTGTGTGAACTTTATCTTGCGCATCTCCAGTGCTCAGTAGTTTTTGTCGTTTGCTTTGTGAAATCTTGTCCGTCAATGATGAGCATTCGTTTATTTCGTTGAGATATTCCCCAAGTAAGTTGACTCATAGCATTTATGTTGGATGTTTAGGAACAAAACGGTAAACAAAAAAGCAAAATGAAGGAAAGAATAGCCGTGTTTCGTTCTGTTTCAAGGCGCTAATTGTAGATTATTGTCAAATTTTGGCGTGTAATTACCAAAATTTATGTTTTTTTAGGCTCAGCTTCAATAAATTTGACTATAGTCTTTTATTATCTCAAAACGAGTCCAGTCTACATTAGCACTTTGCTGGTCCTCACTTGCTGGTCCTCATTGGTGAAATGGAAAACCGCAGGTACTGCCTGGCCCCTAAAACCCCCCTATACTGGGTAAAATAGACTAGGGGGCGGGGTGAGGGAAAGAGCAAAACTATTGCCGTATTGGCCTTTATCACCTCTCAAAATTTGGACCCTGTACGATGGCTATAAGTTGAAAAAATGATGATTTTTAAAATCAATTAAAAATGCAATACAATGCCGACAATTAAGTGGAAATTATACCGGCAATTTCAAAATTACGAAAGAGTTAAATGTGCTAGTGCATCAAAATAATCAACAACATGGTCTTTGTTGAAATTACTAGAATTGTTTTGGGTTTTTATGAATATCCCGATATTTCTTCCGCCCTTGATTCTGCGTTCCCCCCATAGCCTTCAAAATGTTGATTTTATGATTTGTTGAGCTCATTTGAATCTTTCTCAGTAAAGTGTAGAAGCTTGGGTGGCTCCCTTAAGATAATGAGCTGTCATTCTGAGATGCCTATCTTCAACGGCGTTTGTCGTTCGTATCAGCCTTCCGCTGCTTCTTGGGAATGGTTTCAGAGACTCATGGGGAATAACCGTTGCCTGCTGTTTCGCCCTATTGTTTCGCCTTTTCATATAACTTCTCTGAGAGTTATTTAGGCTTTCTTTAAAGCCAGCTCGTTAGCTTTGCGTAAAAAGGCCTGGCAGAGGTGAAAGTAACAGCCTTTGATTGAAAACTCTGTGTGTGCTTGTCTGTGTTTTGAGGGTGAGGGGGACCTAATAACTTCTTATTAGTCTTAAATTATTATGATTATCATTTGTTTTTTCGGGTAAATAGGTTTCGCCATTATTATATCGGAATAGTGGTCGCATGTTGTTTCATTTGACGCGTGAATAAAGTTTGTGTGTGCGTGTATGGGATTGTTTGTTTGTTTGGGGGACTTGATAAGTTTTTTAAAAAATCAGGCTAAAGGGTTTCTGCTAGAATATTTCCGGCTTTGTTACCACTTGATAACTTTTATTTCGATGCTAGTTTCACATTCTATTGTCTTGGCTCATTTTTGGTTTAAAACTACCCTTTTTGATAGATCTAGTTTTTAAGAAGTTTTCGAGTTTTTTTTCGACTTAGCGGCTTTATTGTTTTGAATCGCTATTGGTGCGAAGCTTAGGTTCGCCTCTGTGTATGAAATTGAGCTCTATATGAATCTACAGGTTCCATGAGACTCATAGGGAATAGCGGTTGCCTGCTGTTTTGCCTTAGTGTTTCGCCTTTTATATATCTTCTCTGAGAGTTATTTAGGCTTTCTTAAAACCCAGCTCGTTAACTTTACGTAAAAAGGCCTGGCAGAGGTGAAAGTAACAGCCTTTGATTGAAGACTCTGGAAACGCAGTTGTAAAAGCGTTTACGACGGCTCGTTCGAAATCTAGAAGGATCCTCGATTGTTGCGCGTCATCAGAGGCAGAGGCGGTGGCTTTCAGAAGCGAGGGCATGAACTTTATTTCGATCACCGAAAATATAAATTCGCTCAGGATCCATTACTCCACTGCCGGATAAACAGAAATCAGAATATTTCGTCGGAATTAAGAAATGCCTGTCTTAAATGATTGACAAGGACGGGACCAAGTTCTGTTTCTGACGGTTTTGAGTTCTAATTATTGCTGCACGACTGGGCAAAGATAGTTAAACTGCTTTATCATCTGTTACTTCCTGGAGACAAGTGGCCATTATATTACTATTGACAGGTACAATTTGCTGCCTCGCCTCTTTTTTCATTGGACGCATGATCTGTTTTGCCACAATTTCCACAGGTCTAACATCGTGGCTGTGCTCATTTTTTGTTGATACCAGTTGATCTCCTGCTGTGACGGCGAGCATGCTGCATTTGTTTGAACTTTATCTTGCGCATCTCCAGTGCTCAGTAGTTTTTGTCGTTTGCTTTGTGAAATCTTGTCCGTCAATGATGAGCATTCGTTTATTTCGTTGAGATATTCCCCAAGTAAGTTGACTCATAGCATTTATGTTGGATGTTTAGGAACAAAACGGTAAACAAAAAAGCAAAATGAAGGAAAGAATAGCCGTGTTTCGTTTTGTTTCAAGGCGCTAATTGTGGATTATTGTCAAATTTTGGCGTGTAATTACCAAATTTTTCGTTTTTTTAGGCTCAGCTTCAATAAATTTGACTATAGTCTTTTATTATCTCAAAACGAGTCCAGTCTACATTAGCACTTGCTGGTCCTCATTTTGAAAATCAAAGAATCAATTAAAAGTGTTAAGTATGGGACAAAACGGCACAGGACAAGTTGCCATGTAGGGCAAGTTAGTATAGGAAAAGTTGGCATGGGGCCAATTGACTTGGGGCAAATAGTCCTGACACCAATTAAAATATTCAATATAGTATTGAATATTAGTACTTAAATGACTTCAGACAGGGAGCCGATATGGCGTAGTTGTAAAGCCAATTGTTTAAAAATCATAGGTTGTATCGAATCCTGAAGTCAGCTAACTGTTTTCAAAAACATGTCTGGTGTTTTGTCTTTTTTTGCATTTCCAAATTTTCCAACATCCTTCTGCCGTTTTTGTATCTGTTTGTGAAGCGCAGCTTCGCGTCTGGGTACAGTTTTTGTGGTATAAATAATTTAAAAGTTTTATGCAGGTTGATGTAGAGTTGCTCAAAATTCAAAGAATTTCTGATCATCATAATTATTATAAGTTTGTACTTTTTGCGTATGCAGGGATGTTATAACGAGGAATTAAGATTATGAGAGTTGATGAACCAAATGAGCTATCTGATGTCTAGTTAAAGATTTTTCATGAAAAAGTCTTCAAAATTGGTTTTTTAAATGCTAGTTTTGAAAGATATTTCTTCTTCAATGATGCTTCAAACACAGCAATTTTTGTTAGAAAAATCAGACAGTGCTTGGTAAAATGAGTATTTTTCTCGCTTTTTCGAGTCGTTAACTTGTTTCTAAGTGATTGACGGCTATATTATTCTCAAGCACGTTAGTTTTGCTTTCTGCAGCTTCCCATTGCGAATTCAATTTTTGTTCCTCTCCTGTGAAAGTGGGGAGGAACTTTGTATTTGAGTATGTGTTTTGTTGAACTTTTCCCCAAAATCAGGTATCACAAAGAAATATCGGAATATGTCGAGCGATGTATCATATTACGGTTTTTTCAGTGACGAGAAAACTGGTCTAATTTTCATTTTTAGTGTAAATTCAAGCGATTAAAGCAAACAAACAGGCTTTTAATAGGAGGAAAATTCAAGACGCGAAAACTTTGTTTTACTCCTAGACAATTCGTTTTTTGAAGTTTCATTTAACGCTTTTTTGGGAATAATTTTGAAAACAAAATAATCTTTTTTTAAATAATTTTGATCATTGTTCAATTCTTTTCCTTCGAAGAAAACTTTTATCGAAGATGCATTATTTCTTTGAGTTTTAGGCTTTTGTTCGATAGTATTTCATCAAACCATAGTATTTCATCAAACCATTGTAATTTAGGGGTGTACAAAGATTTCATCACTTCTGCGCCAAATCTAAGGGTTGGATTTGGACGCAGTTTCCGTCTTGTGCAACAAAGCAGTATATTTTAAGTAATCTCTGCGTTGCCGTCTTTATCAAATATTGTTGGAACTATTCATTGCACATTTTTAAAAATATTTTTGGTTGCTTTTATCTGGTTTGTCGTTTTTGATGAAATATTAGGCGTGCTCGTAAGGATACCAGTGTTCCAGCAACAACCTTTTGTGCATTAGGTAAAAATTTCAAATTTGTGTCAGTCACCTGTTGCTTGACGACTTTTAAAAAATTTTCTTAGAAGTTTTTCCTTAATCATTTTGTTGTTTTGAAATAATTGTCGAAGCTTCTGATTATATCACTGATTCGCAAAGAAAAACATGTTTATAATTTCTCAACAAAGTTTTATTTGCTGGCAAAGAATATCACTTTTGAAGCGGTTTTTGATACTTTACGGGGCTAACAACACCAAAAAACTCTAGGAGGTTTTCGAAATGATAAAGCAGTTTGTTATGTTTTTCGGTTCCCATGCAATATTGTTGGTTTAATAAAATGTGTTCAAATTGATCGACTTTGTGATTAGATATGTTACCTACTGCCTGAAATTTGTCAATATGCTACTTTCAAACGACATAAAACCAATCATTGTGTTCGATGGATGTGATCTTCCGGCTAAATCTCCCGTAACGCAGACGAGGCGTAGGTATTATTGCAGCACTATTTTATTGCAACTTGGTGACAAATAATTAAAGACGATGATTTTTAAGGAAACGCGAGGAGAATTTGTTGAAAGGCAAAGAAGCAATGAAAAGTGGGAATCTCGGGGCTGCCAGAAATTTCTTCGTGCAATCTATTTCAATTACAAATGATATGGTGCAGAATGTTATGACCGTTAGTGGAAATTCTGACTTTCTACTTTCACAAAAAAAAAATAAATCGGCAAAAATTATTTATCTATATCTATCTATCTATAGCTATCTATACTATTTTTAACTGCGAGTGACAGCTATCTCCCATGTTTAAGCATAATAATTTTGCATGTTTAACGAAAGAATTTTTTCATGTTTAAGCTATATATAAATTGCAATGCTTAAGAAAATTTTTCAATTATTTTTCCGCAAGGTCATTAATTTTTCAGTTATTTTTTTTGAAGCCAAAGTAAGTCTGTCTGTCTGTCTGTCAGTATACCTGCTTTTTAAATTAATTTGATTATGTCTGTCTACCCGTCGCCTAATTTTTTAAAACTTTATTCTATTTTATATTATTTATCTAAACGGGCTTCACTATCTCGCCATGTTTAAGCTTTTTTAACGTAATATGTTTGCATGTTTAACAAAAGAATTTTTTCACGTTTAAGCTATATCGTTTATTGCAATGGTTAAGGTTTTTCAATTTTCCAGTTAAAATTCAGTGTTTATTTCATCAAGTTTGAAATTAGCAACCCAATAGGAGGATATTGTCAGAGTTTTCCCAGGCTTTGCGATTGTGGTCTCCATGTATTAATTATCAAATCCTTTTAGCTTAAGAGATTTTTCATAAATTTCAAGAAATTCTCACCCTGTAGTTTGGTGTTGTCAGGGCAATTTTCGAGGTTTTTCAAAAATTTCTAGAAAATTTAATTTTCAAAATTTCTCAATTTTTGAACTTCTCACCCTGTAGTTGGGTGTTGTCAGGGTACTCTCAGCGGTTGCGAATCTTGCCTCCAATTCTCACTTCTCAAATCCTTGTAATTTTCGAGACATGACGTTTTTTATGATTTTTTCAAAAACTTAGATTTTAGAAAATTCTAAAATGTTGAAGGTCTCAATCCTGTTGTTGGATTTTGTGAGGGTACTCTCAAGCGTTGCGAATTTTGCCTCCAAATATGACTGCTCAAATCCTTGTAGTTTTCGAGATATGACGTTTTTTTATGATTTTCTCCCAAATTTTCAAAAAAACTTAGATGTTGAAATTTTCCAAAACTTTGAAGATCTCAATCCTGTTATTAGAATCTGTGAGGGTACTATCAGAGAGTTGCGAATCTTGCCTCTGAATATGGCTGCTCAATTTCGTGTAGTTTTCGAGATATGACGTTTTTTAGGATTTGCAAAGTTTTTCAGAAAACATGGATTTAAAAATTTTCACAAAACTTGAAATAACCATCTTAAGTGAATCTCTGTCAGGGTACTTTCAGGAGTTGCGAATTTTGCCTCCAAATATGACTGCTCAAATCTTTGTAGTTTTCGAGATATGACATTTTTTATGGTTTTCTCGGAAATTTTCAAAAAATCTTAGATGCTAAAAAGTTCCGAAAATTTGAAGATCTCAATCCTGTTATTGGAATCTGTGAGGGTACTATCAGAGGGTTGCGAATCTTGCCTCTGAGTATGGCTGCTCAAATTCTTGCAGTTTTCGAGATATGACGTTTTTTATAATTTTTTCAAAAAAAAATTCATGAAAATTAAATGAACTTTTTTTTCGAAGTTTGAAATTCCTAACCTGTAGTTGGGGGCTGTCAGAGTAATCTCATGGGTTGGAAATTCGGCCTCCAATTAAGAATGCCCAACTTTTTTTTGCTTAGAAGATACGACGATTTGTGTGATTTTTTTTGGAAATTTTCAGAAAACTCAAATTACAAAATAGTTTGTTAAAGTGAAATTCCCAACCCTGTAGTTTTGTGCTGTCAGATTTCTTTCAAAGATTGTGAATATTGCAATCAAAAAAGACTGCTCAAATTTTGGTAGTTTTTGTGATGTGAAATTTTTTCTGGTTTTCAAAAAAAAATACTTTTTTTTAGAAAACTTAAGGTGAAGTTTCTCAAATTTTGAATTTCCCAACGTTGTTCCCAACGAAACAATTGGGTGCTGTCAGAGTACACTCAAAGAATGCAGATCTTATTTCCAATCTATGCGGTTTATTATGAGTACCGGAGGTGCGTTACACGCTAGTATATATTATTCAGGTGCACAATAGCGGTTGCACTTAAAAATGTGAATAGCTTGTTTGTTGTTGGTACTTTCCCTTGTGGATAAAGTGTCCGACAGATTTTCGAGTTTTTTAAAACCAATTTGCCATTATAGATTCGAGATGCACTCAACGCTTTGATACGAATTTCAGCTCCATATGAACTTGGAGTTTATACAGTAAAATGTTATCAGGCGTTGTCTGTACTCTCCGAGTCTCATTTCAAATAACAACTAACGATGAACTGCGCAATATATATTTGTGATTGACCGGAGAATTTTATTCTTTATTTCTTTCTTTCTATATGAACTTGGAGGTTATATAGAAATACATAAATGTTATCAGGCGTTTCGGCAGCGAGGTGTGGACTGTATTGTGGCGCCTTACGAGGCCGATGCTCAGATCACCTACTTCGTCAAGAGTGGAATCGCACATGCTGCAGTCACTGAAGACTCCGATCTGCTCGTGTTCGGATGCCAAAGGGTAAGAAGCTCAATACAAAGGCACTGACTTCCGAATGAAAACGTTTTTCGATTTTTTTTCACGAAGCTGATAAAATTTGACCAAACCCTCGAATGTTTAGCTCAAGTGTCGAGTATAGTAAGCATAGTTTTGTCGACCTTTTTTGGGCAGTTAATTTGTTTTTTTTTCGAGCTCTTCGGAAATCCGAAAATCTCCCTGTTTAGCAGAAATTTTTTAATAGATACCTAAAACGAAACCAGATGATCTCCTCTAAGACTACCTTCGAAACTTTTGAGTTATGTAAGTACTGAGGCCCAGGGGCGGATTTAGGATTTTATCGAGATGGGGGGGATTTTCAAAAAAATATGTCTTTTTTTAGGTCGACCAAATTGATTTTCTTAGCTCTCCTAAATCACTATAAAGCCCCATAAAGCCAATGCTTTTTTAGGCAGTTTTTGCAAAATTTTAACAAAAAAATTGCGTTTTTTTCGGCGCGCGCTCCCCCTCAAAGTTAATATATATTGGATATCTCAAAATAGTACAAAGAGGGGACCCTTTGGGTCGGCAGGGGTGGAGGCCTATTTGAACTTTTTAATTTACTTAAACATGAATTTGAACTTATTTTTTTTAACTTGTAGGTGCTGTTCAAGTTGGACTTGAGTGGCAATGCGATGGAGGTGGACTTGCGACGGGTGTTCAAGGGGGGCAAAGTGTTCGAGGGATTCGACGAAGAGAAGTTCCGCCGGGCATGCATCCTGTCTGGCTGTGACTATTTGCCAGATGGACTCCCTGGAATAGGACTGAAGAAAGCGGTGAAAGTTTTCAAGTGTGCGTTGACCAATGAAGTCGAGAGGGTTAGTTCGTTTATCTGTTTGAAATGTATCAGTTAGCTCTGACGACATTAATAAGAAAGGGACTCAGTTTAATCAGTGACAGGTTTCAGGGTGAAACAGGTTTTCATGTGTAACTATAGGTGTCTCAGCCAATTTTTACTTTTTAAAGCAAGATGCAGATAATGCAGGCAGCGAATGCCAAAAATATGTAAATCTTATAGAAAGTAGAAATCGAATATATTTTATTTTTACCTTCACATAACTTTAATTGAAGAACTCGGATATCCTTGAGTTTTGAGATTGATTGAAATTTTATTCTGATTTTTAGATATTGAAGAGAGTTGGAACCTACCTGAAGATGGAAATTGAAGTGAGTGATGAATACGTTCAAGAGTTCATCAACGCCGAGAACACTTTCAAATACTCTTGGGTATTTGACCCGCTAGAAAAACGACTCAAACCCCTCACAGAATATCCTTCTGGGTTTGACTCGAAATCCTACCCTCAGTGTGGGCCTATGTTTAGTGAGAGTATAGCCTTCCAAGTTGCTCTGGGAAATGTCAACACACGGACCATGGAATTTGTGAACTCATACAGTCCCGGAACAAAAGTTAGTTGTACTTAATTACAAAGCAAAGGAATATATCTAGTTAGTATCTATTTTACCTGCTCAAAATGTTGAAAACGATGGAATTTTAACCTAAATAGTTGGCTTGTAAATGCGGCTCATAAATTAGCTCTAATTCCGCTTTTTTAGTTATGCTTGCCGCAAGTGGTTCGATATCGCACGTTTTTTTTTTCGTACCCGTGTTTGGGGGAATTGGATAAGTCGGTCGTGCGCGATGATTTGCAAGGTGATTTCTTGTTAGTAAGTCGTATTTTTGTTAAGCTTTTATACTCAACCTCCGACTAAGGCTTCCAGCTGCTCAACTGAAAAAATAGTTGACATTTTTCGTGATAATTTAGGGCGGAATTGTCACCTCCTAAGCATTTCAAATTGCAACTGTCAATTGGTTTAGATAGTGGCTAAGAAGAATGTGTTGCATGATGGACATGTGTTGAATCCCACCCCCTTGACTCCACTGCACAGACTCAGCATATGGAGTCCCAACTACAGCCCAAGTGAGCAAATTCAAAGTGTTTGTTTCAGATGATCGAACAACCTTCCTGGTCAAAAGTAGATATCTAATCTAGAAGCTCTTAAGAAACTTTTCTGTTTTCTAATGAGAAACTTCAAAAACTTTATCAGTTTTCATAAATATGAAAAATGCCAAATATTTCATATTTGACAGATCTGTCAGAAAGGACCTACAGATGACGAAAAAAAATGGAATTGATTTTATTAACATAATTTGTCTGTTGGCTTTTTATTTTTGAAAACGATCTATTTGCGAATTTCAGAGTGCGCGTTTGTGGATCGAGTGAAATCGAGTAGTTTTTCGTCGAATGTCGTCAAGAACACTGGTGGATCGATTCCATCTACTGGCTGCAGAAGAACAGACGAAGCAGTTGTCTCTTTTGCAGACAGCTCTCTTCTAGCTTCAATTGAAAAAATGAAGTCTCCATCGCAATCGCCCCAAAGTGAGCAGTTAATCTTCATTATTGACACATTTATGTTTTTTTTCTGAAAAAGTTTTTGGATTCGCCTGTACGAATACTTTTATATCAATTAGGAGCATAAGGAAAAAGAAAACGCAATAGTTTCACATGCATGTTTACACAAGCAAAGCTTGTGTTATAGTATGAACTCTCTTTTTGTTCCGACTTTTTGTTCCAACCTAAGTCTCAAATAATGTTGCAACGCAAATATTGTTGTGACAAAATGTGTTCACTTTGATCAATAACCAGCTATTTAGTACATCCAATGCTAAGGATATTAACACAGACTATTAAGAGTAATGAAACTAGTGAAGACTCTTATATAGGTCTTGCTGATTTTTTTTTTTGAGGAAAAAGTATTGATGCACTTAATCATAATGCACTTTTTGAGTTCATCTGCTGAAAGTGACGTAAATAGCACTGACCAAATACGAACGTGGAAGTGGCGCGAAAAAACAATTTCTAGTTTCGAAAGTGGAATTTATTTTCAAGGTTTCCCGGCGGAATAAAAAGTTTACCTATTGATCCAGTTTTCTCTAGTTGGGTTCATGTTATCAAAAAAGCGCCAATCATACATTGTCCTAGAAATTCAAAGACCTTTAAGGGCATCTATTTTTTTCTTTGAAGTTCGATAGTTGAGATTTTTTCAACAAAGTCATTGTTTTTTTCTTTTCTTGAGTTCATTACTCGTTTCCAATCTTCGATTGGCTATGTTTATATTACAAATAGCTTTTTAGCTTCAAGGTTCCATGGATCTGTAGCGTAGAGGTAGAGAAGGAGACCTCGCAACAAAATAAGAGGGCTCGAACATGGGCAGAGTCGGATGTTGTTAATGAACTTTTCGTATACTAGGTAAAATGCGTCCGCTCTATAAATTGAGGAGTGTTAGTTGGTAAATTTCTTTTTTTTATCACATTCACTGATTCTGCTAATGCGTCATAATTGGCTTGCGTCACTTAGCAATTATGTAGACTCATAATTGGCGTGCGTCACTTAAGAATCTCTGTAGACTCAGTTTTGCTGATTCAGTTTTTCCCAGTAGCCTTGTCGGTCATATTTTTGCTTACTTATGCGAAGTTCAACTTCGCCTCTGTTTCAAAACTTAAAATCAATTGCTTTCTGGTTTAATTATTGCTAATCTTTTCTAGTGTATAATTTGTTCTATTGTACATTAATACATATCAATCCACCTATTTGAGTCTTTTGTTTTTGGCTCGAGGAAAAGGCCTTGAATTTTCAAATTTCCATCTCAAATTTGTTTTTGGCGGTTTGATTTTTGATTTTTTCATGTTGAATTTCATTTGGTGAAAGGAAGGCAAATCACGCTTTTCAATTAAGAAAGCGTAATTGCCGCAAAGAATGTGAATCTTTATAGTTCGGAATATGAAGATTCTTTTTGGCCCTGCTTTCTCAAAATAGGATTTTTTCGTTACTCTTGCGATTAGGAAGGGTTATCAAATCAGAATATAGACTTTTTTGGGCTGACAATTTTTTGTAACAGAATCAGTTGAATCATTTGATTTTATTTTCTAATGAATTAAAATTTCTCAGCTTCTCTCGCACACTTGGTCTAGAGATAACAACTGGATCGAATTTTGTCAGAACCTGTTTTTTTTTCAAACTGAAAACTCAGTTGTCGTGCTATTTTTATCTGTTTGTTTTGTCGACTTAGTGGAAACATCACAGTTCAGTTGCCACATTTCTTTTTGTTTTTTTTTCGCTAAATATCCTTGCGAGAGTGCTTCGAGAAAACACTGTTGCAACAGTGGAAGTCTTTGGGATCTTTATGTGAGTTTGTGTTGCTAGTTTGCCCACTTAACATGAACACAGAATCAGGGTTCTCGCGCATGAAGTTCGCTAAGAGTCAACACCAGAACTGTTTTTTGCCAGAAACTTACGACAGTGTGCGTATCATTCAGGAAGTCTTTAGCCGCGACGATTTCGAAAAGGCGTTCATTTTTCCAGCTTCTGAATATAAGAAATCCACGGAGTCGAAAGTAGAAGAAAATTCACGTTAAAAAAGCATGCTGAAGATTTGCGAGAGGAACTGCATGTTTTCAAGCGAATGACTCCTTTAGCTCTAAAGAACCAGCTGAACGAAGTTGATTCTAGCATTGACGAGGCTAAAAAAGCTCTTGAAGCTCTTGAAAAGAAGAAGGAACTGCTCCATAACCAACGCACTGTTTCTGTGGTCACATTGGATCAACAGTCTGCAGTTGTCATTGACTCAATATTTGTCAAGAAATAAATGGTTTAATTGACCATGTTTTTCTGAAAGTTAGAAAATGCTCTTTTAGGTTCATATAAAGTTCGTTTTTCAAGATTTGGTCCCAGATTCATATTTCGTTTTATAAAAGTTGGCAGGCCTGCGCTAAAAGTTGATGTGTCCTCAAAAGTTAAGATATTTTTTATCGGCATAGTGACCTAAATTTGTCCCATTTGGTGGGAAACATAGAATTTCATTTTTTTGTATGTTTTTGAGGGGAGGCGGGGGGATGCGTAAAAATTAGAATATCAGAACTTTCACAAGTTTTTCACGGTAAAGGCAAAAGTTTTGTTTGCGACTCAACTTGAGTTTACAGAACTTGTGTTTACCTATTTACAAATCGATAAATGTTTCTGAAAACTAAAGTTACGCCGGCGATTGTGTTTTTGGGCGTTTTTTCAAATTGAGCATTGCTGACAAAACTTGAAATTTTGTAGTTGTGATTTCTGTATGCCTTTTTCATGCTAGTTGCTTTTTATATTATAATCTACTCCTGCAATTTAAAAATTCTACTATCCTTCACCTCTAAGTTTTTTTGTTGTTTTTTTTTCGCTTAATTAGTTTTTAGTCCTAAGTGTTTGCGGTTTTTTTATCGGCTTACTTACTTAGTTTTTGGTCGTTCGAGGGAACCATTGTTTGTAGGCTTTCCTCCTGATCGCACAAAACGTTCAAAATCTCAGAATAGACTTTGTAGTTCAAAGTTTTTCATGACAATGATTTTAGTTTCGCTCGATAATTGTTTTTTGAATTTTCATAAAAGCCATCGAATGTATTTCTGGACGTGTTTTCCGCAAATAGAACATCATTCCTGTCAACATTTAATGATTGGACTTATTGATTTTTTTCCTTGCCTGTCTGCTAGCCTGCAATGCTATTTTTGTGGTATCGCAAGTGATACAAAGCTCGCCTTTGCCTGTGTGTAAAAATCAGTTACATTTTTCGATTATTAAAAAAAATTCTATTTTTAAAAATAAAATTATTGACAGTCTCCTACGGTCTGGTCTGTTCGCTATGTTTTTGATTGAAGTTTTTAATACATGTCTTTTAGAACCGGTTGAGTGGAAGAGACTGACTTCTAATCCAGACGACTATTGCACTGAGAAGAAATCTGCCCAAGAACTCTCTCTGCTCTACTTGGAAGAAAACTTCGCTCGACCAACAAAATTAAAACCAACATCAACACTAACCACAAACACAACAACATCGAACAAAGCATCAGGAGGTTCACAATCAGCTTCAAGAAATATCTCAACAGGTAATAGTTTTATTTGCCAAAAATTTGATAACATGGTTTATATAAGCAATCGATGGTTGGCATATAGGACTCCGTTGCTTCGTCAATTTTTTTTTAGAAATTGAGTGTCGCGTTTAGTTTTAAGTTGTTTATTTTATGATTTTGTGTACATGCAATGCAATTCAAATAGTTTCTCACACAGTATTTAATGAAAATGGGTGATGATTGACACGTTGGAAGAATAGTTTTCAACAAGTCTATTTGAAATAGTTTATTTTTTTTTGATGGAAGTTGTGATCGTATTGTACTGATGGAACTGAAAATGAGGATTTTCACTGTTCCTTAGAATTTGCATAAACTTCGAGTCATTTGGCGTCTTGGTTGCCTTTAAGTGGCTCCTTCTTCGAAAAAATGGGCTGTTAAAAACGAAAATAAAATGACAAATTTTATATTTTGTTGAAGAATCTACAGGAGAGAGAATAGTTAGTAGAAGAGATAGCAATGGCAGTTTGAAGGAGAACATACTGAGTACTATAAAGAGGAGAGATGGCAGTGGTCCGATTAAGAGACCTCGAGCCTCTTTTGAGAACTCTTCTCTGCAGACGTTTGAGATGTCGAGTGTGAAGAAGCGAAGAGAGGAGACTCAGAGTCTGTTGAGACAGCTGAGCGAGTGCGATAGCAACAGGTGTGTTATTACAGATATCATAGGAGATTGAATGGTTTGCATACATTTTAACCCTCGCAATTTCTCCCCTTCAAGTTTTATTGGCATATTTCGCCCCTAATAGGGAACACTGAAAATTCCATAATGAATGTGAAGCGAAATGTGTGGGTGGGGACGAAATCTGTTGAGGTGGCGAAACAAGCCAAATTCATTTATAAACTGCGGAAGGCAGTATTTTTTATGGAAGTTACGAACAACTTTTTAAATGAAAGTTTCGAACAACTATGAACTTAGTAGCTGAACTGGAAATTTAGTAGTTATAATAACTTTATTTGTTTTGGTTATTGATAGGGTTCCAACTGCAAACGAAGAAGCAAACGACGATGTTCAGGAAATACTGGGAGAAACAACTCCACGCAAGGCAAAGTCACTGTGTCTAGACAACATCGAACCGATATCTCCACTCCACGATAGAATTCATTCAGCCAAAAAGAAAAACAATCCGTTCTCAGCTTCGAAATCACCAGCACAGCTAGTGACCTCAGTTCTCGTTGGAAAATCGCCGCATAAAAAGACGAGTGGTTGTGAGAAAAATAAGTCGAATGAAGATTACGTTCCGCCATCGAGGCGAATGTTTCAGTCCAAAAAAATAGTGGATAAGTCAGTGGATTCAAACAAAAAAGTGTACAGTTTGGACCAGTTCTTCAACGCACCCAAAATGAAAATGACCGAAGAAAAATTGAAAACGGACACTGAAAATAAAGGAGATAAACTGAACACATTTGTCCATAGTCCAAGCAATGAAAGTGCAATAAATAAACAGTTCAAATCGCCTCTTAATTCGTCTACCTCAATTTTGAATGAAGCAGGAGAAATCAAACGAAAGAGTTTTTCAATAGATTCCAACGAGAAGGTTATTGAAGTCGTTAATTTGGACGACGAGGATGATAAATCACCGAAAAAGGCCTCTTCTAATATGATTACGCCGTCTAAAATTAGATCGAAATTGCATTCGAAGTCCCCAACTGCGGACAATAAACAGTCTACGCTTCCGTGGGGATCAAATGTGATAAGCTCTGTCGCACCTGCGACAAAGTCAAAAGCGAAACGAAAGATTGTCAAATCTAAGTGAGTTTTAAAACGAGTTTCAAAAGAACACATTTAAAAAAACCAGATATCGACCTGAAAAAGACACGTTTTGATTTAAGCAACAATGTGCCGAGGTTTTTCAAAATAGTTTATAATTATTCAAACTTTTGGTGGCGGGAATAACTCGAGTATATTTGAAAAACGATAATATGAAAAATGATTTCACAAAATATGAAGTTTCACGATTTGTTTCTCAGAAAAACGCAAAACCGAATTGAAACTAATGTTCGTGTTTTTAGTTTTGCGTCTTAAACTGATTAATTTTTCGTATTGTTTATAATTATCAAATTTAATTTCCAAGCTAAGACTTTATTGAATCAGAATTTTGAAAATGTATTCGGAGAGACGTTCGAAAATGTCCTCAAAAACGCAACAACTTAAAATCACGATGAGTTTTATGGTCGCCTCACGAACTCAATTTACAAGCAAATTATGTATTGATAGTTACCTATTTGTAGGTATTTCTGACCGACACAAGGAGGAGTTGCTGGCGGCATTCAATGATAACATTTAGGCATAGACTATTTTTGAAGAAGTATCTCAATCATGAAAACTATGTGTTGTTTGGGAAGTAAACTCAATCACTTGTTTGAAAGTCTCATTACTTGTTTTTAAAATTGTGCTTTGAGTTTGATCTTTTGTTTTGTTCAATAATTTATGCCAGTTTTAATTTATTTCTTTCAAAAATTGTATTCAATTGTCAGTCGCGTGAATAATGTTTTTATAAGTCTATGAAAGGAGTGTAGACATTTAATTAACACTTTTTTTTCAGTATAAAAGACGTGTTCACTATGTTCCGGTGCCATATTTGAAAAAAAATAGCGCATTATTTGAAACAGTAGTTCAATTTTTGAAAAACTAGTGCAATATTTGAAACATCAGAGCAATCAACCCAAACAAAGAAAACATAGCGTGTTAGCGTGAAAACTTTTTCAAATGAGTGTTTTGTTCGATTTTTTACGTTTTCACACTAGCGAGCTTGCGAGCGTTGTTGTATTAGTACGAATCTTCTCTGTTTTTTCTAATCTAACTCGCTAGTAAGTGTTCATTGAAAGTGTTTTTTATATGGAAGTTTCACTAGCATTAGAAATTTCATAGCAGCTGTCATCTGCTTTATTTGTGGCTTGTGTTATTTTTCTTTAATTAAGCATCCGTGGTTAGTGCGTGAGGCTCATGTGCGTGAGCGTTTAGTGCGTAAAATCATAATGTCTAGGTCGGAGGTAGGTGTAGGTCGGAGGTAGTAGGATCGAATCCGAGACGTTGCCAAATTTTTACTAATTCGAGGTTTTCTATTTTTTCTTTTGAACTTTATAGAGCTGCTTTTTAACGTATTCTCGCTAGTGTTTGCGAAGCGCAGCCTCACCTCTGTGTTTATATTAGATAAGCAACAGCTTATATTGCATCAGGAAATTTGTTCACATCTCGACACTGCGTGTCTCGATTTTTTGACGAATTTCTCGATGCAATACATAGCTGTTGCTTATCTACTACAAAAAATCTTTTGATCACGCTCAAGTTTGATTTTTCAAAGTATGACTCTAGGTTGAAGTTCAATTCAAGTTCATTTGCTAAAAGAAAAATAAATTAAGTTTTGTAATTAAGAAAGTGCAATTGGCTCGAAAAACAACGTGAGTGACTGGAAGTTGGATTTGAATTTAAGGATTTTCTTTTGAAATAAAAAAAATACCTGGTTTTCAAATTGACCCAATTTTTTCTAATTGAGTTACTTTAATGATAAAACTGTTGATCATAAAAAATTCTCGAAGTTCAAAGAATATAAACGTAGTTTATTCAAAAGGTCTTTAATAGTCATTTTGTAGTTTTTTGGTTTAATTAGTTTTGGCTACGCGGCTAGTCATGATTAAAAAAAGTTTTATATAGGCCTGGCTTCACAGATTTTAGAGTCAGGTCAATGAACAAAATCAACTGCCTTAAGGTTGCGTGGATTTTGTTTTCAAAAAAACTGAAGCGTTTTTCCGCTTTGTCTAGTACTTTTTAATTGAATGAATGAAGTAAAGACAAATATTTACGGTGCATCGTTTTTTTTCGGGAGAACAATACCTAAGCTTATTCGCGCTCGTATTTGATTTTCTCGGTTTTTAGATTGAGTAATGAACACGCTATACGTATTTCGTTTTTTTTTAACATGTAAACTGCTAATCACTCCGGGAGAAGTGAATCCACTTGCTTTAGAACGTGGTTGCTCCTGATTTCTGGGCTTCGAGTCCCGGTCGGACATAGTTTTTTTTTCATTGTGTAAAATTGAAAAAAATTCCATGAAAAAAATGAATAGTCGGTCATTCGTTAGTCAGCTTTCAAGTTTTGTCGGCTTGTTTGCCACATAACACATTTTTATTGCTGCGAGCAATTTTCATTGTAGTTGCAAGTGCAAGTATTGTTTATTAGTTTCAGGGGAATTTGACTATTTTATTTTTCTTCAAAAAAAATTTTTTTTCCGGCTCAACTGGTGTTCGCAGAAATTTTGTCAGCTTAGTTGCCACGTCAGTGTTTTTTTCGCTGTAAACGATTTTTTGATAATTTCGAGTGTTGTTCATTATAGTTGCAGGAGGATTTTATTTTTTTAATACAAAATCATGCTTTTTTGTTCAACTCAAGTCGATTTTGTTTCAGCTTCGTAGGTTTTGCTCCGTTGCGAGTTTTTTTTCATGGTATGTTTGCTTAGAATGAACTTTATCGAGACATACAAAAGTTTTGGCACACGTAATTTATTTCAACGTTCTTTTCCCATTTTTTTGACATAAAACTGTTAAAACTATTATTCTTTCGAAAAAAAAATCTCCACAAACAACTTCATTGTTAAATAACAGTCGGAGTATTCGAGTCTTCGTTTTTAAACAAGCAGTTTTTGTTCCCATGCAATAAACAAGGATAATGCAAAGATATTGATTTTTTTGAGAATTTTCGCCGTCTGTTCATGGAAAACATTGATTGAGAACTGCTCAACTCTTGAAATATTTCACTGTGAGACGGTTTCAAAGGTATTATTTTACGCTTTGATCAATGCATGTAGGGTAACTGTCAACAACATCCTTACCTCAGATTTATAGCTTTTAGTGGATTTGTTATTAACCGAGGTTAGATAATTTCTCAAAAGTTCTATGTGGATTTTAAGGCGTTTTTCTTAGACAAGTTTTTTAAATGTAACTGGGTGATTATTTTAAATGCGGTTTTTTGATACTGCATAACTCAGTCGATCTTAATATCGGTTTTTTCTGTATTTGGATGACTTGACTCCAAATTATTTAGAGGATCTTATTTATTTAGAAATTGAAGTAAGTTGCACCTTTTTCAATTTAAGTTTCCGAAAATTGAGCTCGTCGTAGACTTTCTCAACTTAGTTTTTCAATATAATTTTTTCCTGTCTGTCATGCTGATTTAACTACCAGCTGTAATTTAATAAAAATAAATTTAATCTGCATACTCAAAAACCACTAATTTTTCTAATTTTTTTTAAATTCTCTTGGTCATACGTAGTAATAGTTTTGAATTTTCATAAGAAATTAGAGGAAAAAAAATTTCTCGGAATCAGGAGCTTACTGCTGTGAGCAAATACAGAGAGGATAACGAGGATCGTCGATTGCTGCTCAAGTGGCACAGAATGTTCGACTAACCTAAAAATCATAAAAAGTCACTTTATTGTCTGGTGTGAAGAAAGAACTATAAAATTAAATGGTTCGTTAGTGAATTCGGCAGAATCGACAAACGTTGTCTTCGAAAAATGAATAACAAAAAATACATGAAAGTTTTGTTTAACTTGTTTAACTTTGTGTTTATGAGCCGACCAGTGAAAAAGGGGCGAAAGTTTGCCTTTGAGTGGGTTTTATTTTTTTTCCGATCTCTGGAAGTGGGGAAGAACTTTTTACTCGAGTGTGTTTCAAAATTTTTAGTTTTTCACGCAGAATATCAGATAAACATATTTATGGAGTGATTTACTTGAACTCCTTTACATTTGCAGTTCGAACGACTTGAAAAAGTTACGAGCAAATTTCTCGGTGTTGAAAAAAAAAGAATTGAATTCATGATTTTTTTTCTCTAATTTTGCTCAAATAAAGTGAGCGAGCACGCTCATAATAGGCCTATTACAGTCCACTTTTTATAATTCAAATTGAGCAGTGATAACTAAGTTTTATTTCATTGAGAGTTTTTGAAGTTTTTCTAAGCTTTCTTCATATTAAAACTTTTTAAAGAAAATCAAAATTATTTGCAAAAATTTCGTTCGGTTTTTCTCGTAACACAAATAAAAAACACAAGACTGAAAAAAGAATCATTTTCTTTATTTTGTCAGCATCAACTGGATATTCTTGCTGGTTTTTGAAATGGATTTCTTAACGTGAAATCAGGTAACACAAATTTTCATCAGCATAGATCGAGTGATATATTGTATTAAAACTCTTACAGTCGTGATTCAAAAAACATTGAAAAGTAGTGTTTTGTCAATTGTGTGCCCAGAACTTTCTGATCTAATTGCACAAAAATTGGCCAATCTTGTTGATAAAAAAGGATTATTTTAAGTTAGCAATTTGATTTTGCAATTTTTTACTCTGAAGTTCAGTTAGGAGTTTAGTTTGATAAAACCAGATACAAACTTTCAAAAAAATTTCTATTTATGTTTTGATCTGCAATCATACGTGTCGTGGTAGCAATAATTGTAAATTACTGGATTGCTACAAAAACTGTAATTTGAACAACAGTTTTTTTAGTTTCAATTTTTGGTTTTTACAATGAATTGCAACAATAATTGAAGTTGCATCAACAATTGCAGCAGGGGCTGATCTAGGATTTTCTCGAGCGTAAGTTCAAAAGTTTTTTCAAAAGTTTTGTTGAATTTTTTTGTCGACCAAATTGAATTTCTGAGCAATCGCAGAACAATATAAAGAACCTATTTAGACAAAAAGTTATGCGCCGCTAAAAGGGTTTGTCCAAAAAGGCGCGTTTTTGGGGTCAGTTGGCCAATACAAAATAGTAGTGAAGGGGTCAAATCCCTGAAAAAAAGAACATCCACCCCCCCCACCCTTTCCCCTAAATTTGACACTGAAGTGTAGTCTGCTGATTTGCAACACTTATTGTAGTTGCAGCAGTCTTTTTTGGGTTTTCATTTTTCGAGTGTTTTGAATTGCAACAATAAGGCAGTTAATTGAATTGCAACAATAATCGTATTTGCAACAAAGTTTGTACTTTAAAGAACTCAGCAGAAGTTTTTTTGGATAAGTTTCTTCTCTCTCCTCCGTACATTCAGAAACCTTTAATTTCGAACAAACATTATTTTTTTAATTATGTGGTCGGAGCCTTCTGTGATAATAGCACAGGAGCACGTCATCCTTGTTTCGAATAGCGAACGCTCGAATGCTCATGTTCAGTGTGTCCAATTTTAGTGTACATTACTAGGTGAAACTATGTATTGTGTGAATTATAGGCTGATTCCGCAATAAGGACGCCCTGTTTGATCTTTCTTTGTTTTCTTTAATCGTTCCAAAAATAATTAACACGTTTTAACACTTGTCTCTAGATGCCAGAGACCTAAACACTCCAAATTGTGCACCTATCCAGGTCTCGTAGTGCAATAAATGTCAATTTGCTCAGAAAGTGTTGTTCTAGTATGCTCACTCGTTTAAAAACCCGATTTCATGTGAAAAAAAAAAACTCAATTTATGCTGTCTTTTGGGCTCCGCGCATTTCAATTTAAAATTCGTTCTTCTTAAAGCGAAAGTGACAAAAACTAAAGTTTCCATTTTCTTAGAATTTCAGCAGCATTCTAAGCTTATGTTGTCTTAGCAAACTTGACTGGAATTTAAAAAGTTGCCTTTTTCACAAATTGTGTAATGAAATGCTAACAAAATGGTAATTTTATATTAAAATTTGCTGTCCAATTTCGTATTGGAAACTTGATGATTATGCGATGATGTCAACTATCGTTTTTCGTTGTAAATCACAGATTATTGACTCTGTGAATAGTCTGAACAAGCTTCGGCAAATTCTGTTGCAACAGCCTGCCAGTTGACAAATCCAGAACTCTTTCTGTGTATTTTTGCATCAGAGTTCGAACCTCAGCCGGGGCTTCGGGCGGAAACTTCGTGTTTGTCAACAAAACTGGAATGATAGGTTTGCCGACTGTCATGGCTGTATAGAGATCTTTGTGACAATTACTCGAGTGTGAATACTCTTCCGAGAAACAACACAGAACAACAGTGCATTTTCGGATGTTCCTGATGATTTGATTCTGAAGGTTGTCGAGTTTGGCGGGTTCGAAGGGTTTGGAGGCGTGGCTGCTTGACGACCCTTTAGAGGAAGAAGGTTGGCTTCTCTGAGGAGTGGCTGCTGAACTGAAATCTGCCCAGCTTGGGATCCCGTAGTACTGCAGAAGTTCAGACAGTTTGTAAGCTTGCACCTTAAAAAGGTTCTTGTAAGCTATGATTGTAATCCAGATTTATCAAAGAATAATGCTTGTAAATGTTCAACGCGGCTATCTTAGGCAAGCTTAGGTGTTTTGGCACGGATTGCTTAAGCTGAATATCACAGAAAATCACCACAAATAGAAACCTAAAGTCTCTTCTAGTTTAAACTTCCCATTGGTTTATTTTCTGCGCTGCATTATAATGGGTGATAAGAAAGGTGGTTCGAGGTTCGTGATCAGTACTTGCGAAGGTGAGGTAACAATTCTCAGCCCAAAAAATACCAGAAAGTACATGTAGGTCTTAATCAGATGCAGAACAAAGGTTCTCGCTAATGAGATGAACAGCTACAATGTTGTTTCTTTTCCTCGGCAAGACAATTTTATTGGTCTTATAAGATGATGTTCTGATAAGTGCATGCTTACCTGAATATCCCAATGATAACTGATAAATACAGAGGGAATCGCCGAGTTCGCATCCAAGTCTCCGAAGGAACTGGACTCCAGGAAGTCCACCAGGAACCTGATATTTTCAGTCAACATATAAACATACTCTTGCTGGAGGACTACATTGGAGGGAATAGGGTTCGCAGGAGTGACCAGGTACTCCACTACTTCCATGTCCTGACCAAATGATGACATGTTTAAAGTGGCTGCAGGTTTGTCTTGAAGGATGGCTTTCAGACCTGGTCTCATTTTGGACTCGATTCCCTGTAAATTTAACAGCTGTATTAAATTTGAAAATCAATTAAGATATTGCTGAGGATCCTTTCAGGGCAGTGGCGCATTTAAGATTCTCGAAGAGGAAGGCGAATTTTCAAAAAATCTCGAACATTTTTTTCGACTTTTTCCAAGTGACCAAATTGATTTTCAGAGCTCTCAAAAATCACTTTGAAGACCCTATTTTGACCACTTTTTTTGCCCGCAAGCAAATTTTAAGAAAAAAAACAGGCCAAAAATGGCGCTTTTTAAAAAAAAATTTTTGTGAAAATATTATTAAGAAAATTGCGCCTTTACCGCTCAAAATGAGTATATATGGCAAAGGCACATTTAGAAAAATGTTAGGATCGGGCAGCCAAAAGTCGAATCCTTGAGAAAAGAAGCGTCCACAATCCCGAAATTGAATATGTTTTAAATGTAAGCTTTCACGAGCACATGCCTCTTCTCGAACGAGAATGGTGCACAAGTTTCGTTCCATCCACTCGACAAACACTACTTCGTTGTACACAAAGGGAGAGCCGGCTCCTGATTGGCTGACGATGACGAGGAAGTTGCTGCACTGGGCCATGATTGGTCCATTGGCTATCAGGAACTCCTCTCTGGATGCACCCAGTTTCTGATGGTATGTCACATTGAACCCTGTAATAGATAAATATAGTAATCTTGTGTTCATATTAAGGGTACATTCAAATGATCCGTCGAGAATCGAGAGTTATGTCATCAAAAGAGTCCGCATATTTTTCCAGGTCACTCAATCATTTTGAGAGGGCAAAATTCTTTTTTGACCTGCATTACAACGAAACTGTTGAAAACGTATGCAAGCTTTTTGTCAAAATTCTCTACCCAAAAATTGTCAAGTGCTCAAAAATCCTTAAACTATCCTTTTTGGCACATATTTTTTCAGCGGCAAGAGATCACTGAACACTGAAACACAATTGTTCGACTGAAAAAAATTCCAAAGATACTCTTAAATGTCTCCTTGCTGGTAGCGTGGTCGGCATTTCGGTTTGGTCTTTTAAAATCTTTTTGTGACAACATAGTTAACAAAATTTTCCCACATTTCTAATGTATTCAAAACAATCCTGACTAATCAAAAGTCAAATTTAATAGCCGAAATTTTTTCTGTGAAATTTTTACCTTTTGCAGTAAAATACTTCTGTACGTTGAACGCAATCGCGATGTCTTTCGGGTCGAAAATGATGTAAATTGTGGACGGTTTCTCTTTCGTGTTACTCAGCCTACAATGCCAAGCCTCCTCTCTGTTCAAATCCTGCTTCAGTCTTTCTTGAACCAGCTCTGGGATCTTTTTGCTGATGTGTCGCTTGTCGATCAGCAAATAGTCGGTCAGTTCCTTTTCGCCGAGTGAAGCGAGTAGAAATCCGTCAATTTTTCGCTCCAGGAAAGCGTCGGTGAAAAAATCAGAGACTCCTTTTGACCTCAGCCAGTTTTGAACGTCGTTCACCTATGAGTTATCAACTAAGTTATTCCTGAATACTTTATACTTTTAATTGCTTATGACGTCACGGGCACCGAACTTGCCAAAAAGCATACCACCTGTGGAAACATTGAAACAATACAATAAGTTGCGCCGAAGAATTTTCTGTTTCCTAAAAGAGTGAATTAATAATTTGAAATAAAGATTAAAAAGCCAGTTTTGTGTCTTTTAATCTCATATGATATCGAATGCGCCGTGTTAGCTCCGCTCCGGACCGTTTTGAGAATAATTTGCCTTCTACGAACTTCATTTTTCAACGATTTAACTCACCTCCCAATGGAGCAATGCTTTCTTTTTGTATTCCGAGTTGTTCTCCGCGCCTTCGTCCGGCGGTGCGTCGGATGTTCCGATGCCCTTATCTGATGTTGGGTTTTTGGCGAAACGTTTCTCTATCTGCGGTCCAAGCGTGCCAGTCGCGATGAAAATCTGATAAAAACTTATCATTTTAGTTGATAGATTTGGAACTAGCTAAGTCATCAAGTGTGAACAATTTAATGAAATCAAATCGCTCAATTTTAAATGAGATTGAATTGTTTTGTGCAAAATGCTTGCCTCTTTTTAATAAAAAATGGTAATTTGCTCACGATGGCAACTCTTCGCCGTTATAGCCCTTCCCTCAAATAATCAATACTCTAGGATTACAATAAAATCACAGTGCGTTAGGTATTCATTGCGTTTTCGATTTGCAAGCGTTATATATTTTGTGACATAGATCTCGGCGAGGTGTTGCATATAATGTGTCGAGAAGGTAAAACTGTCGTTGTCCAATTGTTGATTCCGATAGAAGAGATTGTCAACTTAATCTCACAAGTTAGCATAAAGAGTGGTTAGAAACAGTATCCAAGGGTGACAGACTGTTCCAAGGACAAACACCTGCTAATCAATTAGTCTAGCACCAAGAGTGAACATTTGATTGACAGCTTTCGAAATGAACTCAATTACTCTATACAACACTTCCCCTTCGATAATGAAACTTTAGTTGAGTAGAAATGGTTTCGCTGGTTGACTTTAATGACTGAAATGATTGATCATAGATGGTTGAAAAGAATTACTAGCTTCATGTTTGGATACAATTTAGACTTTAATAATGACAACTTTTAACAACTAAAAGATCACTGAGCAGTGATACCAATTGAGTTTTAAGTCACTAATGACTCACCCTCTCCCTGGGTTAGGACAGTTTTTCAGAAAGTTTTGTAACTCACTTGTTTCCTTCCTTGTTTTGATTGATGAAGTCAATCATTACGCCCCCAATCTTGGTGACCGCCGTTCTTCTGCGCCCGCTTTTTCTAGACGTCGTGGATGATGTCTCGTCCTGGCTCTCCCCCTGGCTGCTGTATGAGACCAGCTTTGCTTTCTTTGATGAGGCTCCTTTTTTCCTACTGGCTGTGATCGGCTTCGACTGGTCCCCTGGATTGGACATTCCTTGCTCCCTTGGATTTTGATTATCCAACTCGCCGCCTTGTGCCGGAATGGTGTCCTGGTCAGTTCCAACCTCGGCCTCTGGTAGTGTTGCTGCTGAGCGTTCTATAGGTGATTCAGGGGTGGTAGTTAAAGGCTGTTTGGCTCGTTTTACCGAGATAATCGGTAAGTCCTCGCTGTCTTCTGATTCAGAGTCGGTATCTTCGAAACGGCGCCCGGTCCTCTCACGTTTCTTTTTCGCAATTCGCTGTGCTAATCGTTCCTTTACTTCGCGCGGAGTCGGCGGTGGTAATGCTGTTTGAATGGCTCGCTGTTTCACTTCGCTCGATGGTACCGGTAATACCGATTTGGCTGCAATTTTAGACTTCTTTGGTATGGGCTTCGTGGCCACTCCCGATTTCCTAAGCACAACCCCATTGTCTAACGTTAGTGTATGTGTACTCTCAGATTTAATTTTAGAATGAATTTGTCTATACCTTTTTAGGTTTTTGTTCCCAGTTCGCTGAAACAACAATCCGGATGGTCCCGGTTGTCCATTGGGGTTCGCACTTCTGAGTATTGACGGTTCGTCGTCTTGATTCGCGGATTGGTCCACTGTAAGGCGTCGTGCATGGGTCCTGTTTTTGATATCGTAGGCGAGGTCTGATCTTACACTCCAGTTTGTATTAGCTGGATGGGGCATATCTTGCACATTAGGATCGGTGGCATCTAAACAAGCATTTTTTGTTTTTATAACCCGTGACCAATCCAAATTTTGCAGCGATGGTTTTCTAGTAAGATTCCGTAAAACTGTGTTTGCTTCTCTACCATGATGGGATTCAAAGGGCGAAATTTTAAGTGTCGAGTTTTTTGAGAATCTGAGGGCACCAAGGGCCCGTTCGACCATTTTCTCCATGGGTTCAGGAATCTTTTCGTGAGCAAAGGTAAGGATAGAGTTCTTAAGACTGCCAATGGTACGCTCGACGCACCCGGTTGCTCGATGGTCGTTTACCGGTGATTTAATGATTTCAATGCCCTCCCCATTACAAAAAGCTTTAATCGCGTTTGACATGAAACTAGTTCCCTGATCAATGTGGATTTTCCGTGGCACCCCGTGGTTTGATATATAGCTCTTCAAGAATTTCAATATTTTGTCTGATCGATTATTTCCACAGACCATTGCCGATGGCCAACGAGAGAACCGGTCGACCGCCACTAGCACATATTTTGGGGATTCGCTTAAGTAATTGATGGGGCCCCAAAAATCTAATTGGACTGATTCATTTGGTTCTATTGGTTCCGGTACCGATCCCAGTTGATTTTTATTTATTAACGTCTTTAAGTTCTTACCAGCTGCAGTACATTCAGGGCACCCTTCGGCAAACCAGACATCTTTTGCGGCATCGAACATATTTGATTTCCCGTGGTGGTACGCGTGGATTCGGATATTAATTGCTGACTGAAGGTTAATTGGAATTACTAACTTATCATCCATCCAAACTACGTTTTCCTTTACTGAGAAATCATTGACGAATTGGGCATAATAACGATTCATTTGAGTAACTTTTTCGTGAATTTCCGGATCTTGTGTAACAATGAGATAGCGAATAGCGCTCAGTTGGGGGTCCGATACATAATTTGATTCTATGAATTTTAAGTTAAACAGGTCAGGTAATGAAGTAGCTTTGTTAACGATCTTACAATTTCGCGGGATAATTGACATACATACAAGGTTTGGGTCCACTGGTGGTACTGTTTCTCCTTTGAATTCCGAGGGTAACGAGAGAGTTGTATTTGTGCGTATTGATCTTGTCTCTTTGGTAATGGCTTCTAGTGATACATTTGGGGGCAATTCTTCGATTTCGTCGCTACTACTATTCAGACTTGGATGTTGTTTAAGGAATTTCTGCCATTTGCGCATGCTGCGGTCCATAATGATATTTGCTTTTGAAATTTGAGGGCTGGATTTAAGTAAATTTGGATTTTGAGAGTTGGATTTATATAATTTTGAACAACTGTGTTCTGATTGAATAATAGCCCCAACTAATCCAGTGCGTATATCGCGTAGCCGTCGGCTTAAACCACGTGTTTGAATCTGATTGGTTGATTTCCGCTTACATGTTTTTCCGCCCTCTACCGAGTCATTTTGTGACGAAACTTCCAGTCTATTTATAGAATGCTTATTATCCGCTGTACAAATTGGTCCCTTGGATGTATTTGGTCCCTTGGATGTATTAAAGCCAAGCGCAGTGCGAATTAGGTTGATCTTTGCCACCGTAAACATATTATCATACGTACTTATTGGCGTTGCTTCCCTACTTGGATGACGTGATAAGTAGTCCGCCAAACCAATTTTAGCCCCCGGTTTATGCTCAATTTGAAAATCAAAAGGAATTAGTTGATCTAACCAGCGCGTTAAACGACTAAACATCGTTTTATTTTTCTTGTTATTACCGTTCAAAAGGGATATTAAGGCTTTATGATCGGTAACGATCAAAAAACTTCGGCCCAGTATGTAATTTCTAAAGTATTCAGCCCCCCACACAACTGCCAACATTTCCAATTCGTTTGTTGAGTATTTCTTTTCCGCTTCGTTAAGATATCGCGACGCAAACGAGATTGGGCGCCATCCTTCTGGTCCTAACTGTTCCAACACCGCGCCGAGCCCGTTATGGCTTGCATCGCACACTATACGAATGTCTTTGTGGATATCAAAATGCCGTAATTCAACAATGTTAGAAACGTGTTTCTTAAGGTGTTCGAACGCGTTCTGGCATTCAGGTGTCCAAATGTATTCATTATTTTTGCTTAGTAGGGGTCGCAGCGGTGCCGATGATTCGGCCGATGCCGGCAGATACTTGTGCAAACTATGAATTGACCCCATAAACGATTTTAATTGTGACAAAGTCCGTGGCGGCGTTAGCGCTTCTATTGGTTCTGTTTTTCTAACCAATGGAGTAATTCCACTCGGGGTTATTTTATGGCCTAGCCATTCGCATTCTCGTTGGGCGAATTTACATTTTGTCAATTTTAGGGACATATTTTCACGATCCAGTTTCTTTAAAATTTTCTCTACCGTCGCTATGTGGTCTATCGCCGTTCCCTTGGTTACGACCAAAATATCATCGATGAACGCATGCGCTTGCGGGTATTCAGCGAGTATACAATCCATTGCGCGCTGGAATTCCGCGGGCATTGTAGTGAGACCATAGAATCCGGTTTTGAACCGGTATGTACCCGTCGAGCGGCCTCCAATAAGAGAAAAATTGCACTGTATGCTCGTCTCAGCGTTTAGTGGCAGTTGGCCATAAGCATATGTTAAATCCATTGTTGTGAAATATATGTCTCCCTGTTTTTTTTCGCTAATCGTTTGTCCAACCGTGTCCATTAGTTCCTCGATATTCGGCATTTGGTATTTATTCTTATGCACTTGTTTATTTAGTTCCCTCGACTCGAGTGCCAGTTTCACGGACCCATCCTTTTTTACTGTTATTACTATTGGGGACACAAAATATTTGTCCGAGCATTCGGATAATTTTTCGAAATGACCCTGTTTCAGTAATTTGTCAATTTCTGCATCCACTTTCTCTTGCAACGAAATCGGGACTCGACGCCCCTTCTGTTGAACTGGGGTGAGGTTTTCAAAAAATTCGGCTTGTACTTTGTAGTTTCTTATTTTCCCTACCCTGCTAAAAAAGTTTGAAAACTGCTTACTGAAATATGTTTGCCATGAATCCAACTCCCCCTCCGGTTCCAGTGCGTCCTGGCTGCCTTCTTCAATGGACATTATGTGGTCCCCTGGTGATTGTTGCACCAACTGGAGTCCTAGTTGGGGCATCAGATCTCTTCCAATTATTGATGGTCGGTTCCCTCCGATTACTTTTATCCTTGCATGGATCTTCCAGCCGTTTGATTGTATTGTTACTGCCATTGTTCCAATCATCTGTAGTGGATTGTTCCCATAATCCCGAAAAGCATTGTCCTCCTCCGTAAGATTGTCCAGTTTTACTCCTGATGTTCCCAAAGTTTTCCGCAATTCTCCGATGGTGAAAATTGAAATTGGGGACCCGCTATCGATCCACACTCGAGTGGGTTTCCCATTGACTTTGATCGGCAATTGTGCCCCAGCAACTTTCAATTCTGTGACTCTTTTTCGTTTTATGGCCATAACCATATAGTCCCCGTCGGAGCTGCTTGAGTCCCACGAGTGCACCACTGGATTCTTATTAACCCATCCAAGGGAACTTGCATGTTGTGATGCTTCTTCGTCCGCCGAATTTTCTAGGTGATGATTGTCGCCATTCTCCCGTATCATTCCTACGGCTCCCTGTCCCCGCTGGTTTCCACGTTTTCCCCTGCAGGTTCGATCGAAATGGCCAATTTTGTGGCAAAAACTGCATGTAATCCCCTTTGCTGGGCATCTGTCCAAGTGTTCCCTGGTGAAATTTTGTTGATCGCAGTTATAACATTTGTTGTTATTGGTAGATTTCTGCCTCGATACAATCCTCGCCCTTGGTAAGAGCCCCGGCCCCTTGCAAGATTGTTCCGATAACCTCCACGGATTATTCCGACTGGTTCCGATTTTATCTGGATTCCTCCGCCTCCTGATGATGATCCTGGGGCCCCCACTGGTCCCGTGGCAACATATGATGATGCATACTTGTTACCCCTCTCGTACGAGAGAGCTATCCGGTACACTTCCTCAGGTGTTTTCGTCGACCTGCATAGTTCCTTTTGTGCATCCCGATTATTCATGTTAACAATGAATACGTCTCTTAGTATTCGGTCTTCTAGTGTTCCAAAATTGCACCGCGCTGCCAATCCGCTGAGTACGGAATGGAATTGCTCCAAGCTTTCATTGATAAATTGCTTACGAGAAAGGAGTTGGTATGTTTCATATGTTTCATTTCTTTCTTTCTTAAATTCCGTTTCCAGCGCGTCTATCATCCGTGGGTAACGAATCGTCTGGAGATCCAGGTGTGGTCGTCTTTGGTGCAGTTCATCCTGCCCCTTTTCCCCCAGACACAAATACAGGTTCGAAATCAACACCTGTTCTGATACCCGCCGATTTTTTCCGTCTACTTCCGCGGGCAAGTCAGTAATTTGGGCCTCTGTGAGTGTCGCGGCGAAGTAAAAGTTCATCGGGTTTAGTGAGTGCTTTGCGACCATTCCCCATTGGAATCTGTTGATCCAGAATTCCCACAACATTGGCGGTTCCGTGCATTTTGCTGGCCAAAAGCCCGTGATGCCCAGTGGATTCTTCCCCCCACCTGATCCTGCTGGCTGCGCCATGTCGAGAAGGTAAAACTGTCGTTGTCCAATTGTTAATTCCGATAGAAGAGATTGTCAACTTAATCTCACAAGTTAGCATAAAGAGTGGTTAGAAACAGTATCCAAGGGTGACAGACTGTTCCAAGGACAAACACCTGCTAATCAATTAGTCTAGCACCAAGAGTGAACATTTGATTGACAGCTTCCGAAATGAACTCAATTACTCTATACAACAAATGGGACAAAAAGATTCAGCTATTTTTGAATTGGTCAGTAAAAAAATCTAACTTTTTCACTGATGTTGTCTGAGTCATATGTACTCAAATCCACCTTCCCGCTGATCTGCTCGTTGATGGCAGAGGACAACTCGGCCGCTTCATACAACACCACGTACACTTTGATGCCTTTCGGGTTCTGACGACTTCGTTCCAAAATCGTCTTCAGTTCGTTCACACACTGCCTTGTAAAGGGCATTTATTAAAAAAAAAGTACTTAAAAAGCCCCTGAATCTATTTTCTTCAACTGTCACCAACTCCTATTGTACGCTATATTAGAAAAAGTATCCCTCCTATAAAAGACTCCTTAAATGATTAGGCATATTCTAAATTTCTTATAGTGACGAATTTCTTCTCCTTGGCAATTATTGAGATCAATAGCCCTCCTGCTTCCAATGATACCGTAGTATGTAATCTTATATATCACAGACTGATTGAAGGTACAGACTATTAAGCATGCAAAATAATTGAACTCAACTCCCCCTTTTAAAAATTGGGAGAGGTTATTTTTTTAAATATATTTAATTTTTTCTTAAATTTCGGAAATAGAGTTTCAGTTTTCTGAACGTTAATCATTAACTACAATCAGGGGCGGATTTTGTAGGATTTTCTCGAGAGGGGGGGGGGGTGGATTTTCAAAAAAGTTTCGAAAATTGTGTCGACAAATATCAAATATAATACTTTACCCAAAAAAAGTAGTCTCAAAGTAGAGTCAAAAGCCTTTACCTGTTGTCCATGTACGCATTTGACAGCACAACCACCGCACATTTGCATTTTTCAGCATTCTCAAGTCTCAAAGACATCCAACTAGACGTGAACAAACACTTCTCGTGGATGTCAAACCACAAGTCGTTCTCTAAATTGTACTCGGTTTTCAGAGTCGACACAAACTCTGTCACAAATTTCCGCTCCAGATAGTCGCTTTCGGTGCTGTGTGAAATGAAAACGTTCTTCTTGATTTTGGAGGCCTTGGAGCTTTTCGATTCGCGGGGTTTCGGGGTATTTTGAGGAACGTGATGAGACGCTACGCCAGTCTCACTGCTTGATTTCGTCGCCATTGTAAAAAAAAGATGATAAAACCAATCAATTCAATGTTTTTTCTGCTGATACTGATTTTATCAGTTATAAATTGAGTAAATTAATAAGAGATTCGATTTAAACTTTCTTTTTTAATGAGGAAAAGCAAGTTGATAAATTAGGATTTTACGAAGTCTAAAACACGTCGTATAACTATGCAATGAGATTGAAAATATACGAAAAGTAATTTGAACAGAAAATAAAGTAATTTCTTCTTACATGTTTTTTCGTAATTTTATGTTTTACGTGCGTAGAACGTTAATGTTAGCAAAAGCTTACGTTTTAAAATAGTTTGCTTTCAAATTTTCTAACTTAGAATCAGAAAAACAATGATTGCTTTTCATCAAAACATGTAACTTGAACAACATTTTAATAACAATTAAATGCATTTTTCTTGTCTGCCAATTTTTTTTTGTGACTAGACAAACAATATTTGTCATGGAAATTCTTCTATTATGTAATTTCTGCTTCGTAAAGCACTTTGTGCGTGAATTGAGAAAAAATTTGAGAACCGTATCTGTAAATTTTTATAAATCTGTTCATAGCAGGTCACTGAAAAAGGAAATATTGTTTGACAAATGTACAATAATTTTTCCTTAGCTTATAATCTGCACCAAATTGATAGATTGACTGAAATCAGAGTACAGGTGTTCATTTGATCGCATTATCTTGCCATTAAGTTCTGAGAACGAAAGCCTCAGAATTTGTCTTGTAGCTTAATATTGTTTTAGTTTCTGGATAATGAACAGGCTAAAACTAATTTCAAAGAAAAGCAAAAACTTTGCAAAATTTGTTTTAAAATACAAATGCTGAGATTCTAAGCTTATTTTGTTTCGAAATTGAGCGTAATTTATTGTCGATCTTAAATTCCAAAAACCTTCAAGATATCTGCGGTGATTTTTGAAACAACCCTTAAACCCTTTTTTTTCTCACACGCAATGTCAGCTGTAGGATCGGTGATCCTAACACTTTTTCGCCAAACTCAGATATAGATTAATTTGACAAACGCATGCAGCATAGTGAAGGTTAATGAGTTGTACGTAGCTTGGTATTCACTATCAAATACGAGAAGTGAAAAGTACACAGACGGTCGAGTCCCAAAATAAGTCCAAATCTTGAAAGAATTAGTCCCTCCTATGGTTAAATCTAAAAGACGGTTACGATAGTGATAACCACCCCCTCCCAATGGAAACTAAGAATTTTAACTTGATGAATATCATAGGACGGATAATTAGGATGATTTGACCCGGGCATGAAAAAACCCGGACCCCTAGGACACCACTGGCGCAAGTGATAACAGTTTCCGGAAGTGCAAATAATCTTTTTAGAACTCACTAACAAGTGGTTGGAATGGGACCAAAGCTTAATTTGTTTTAGGCCTAATTGACTGAACCGTAAACTTGGAACCCCAGACCCCCTTGACCACTACTTCCGGTGTTATACCCTAAGTGAATAGTCCCCACCCCGACTTCCGGAAGTCGTTTCTCGAGTCCAACTAAACGCAGGGTGCCAAAATTTTGGGATAAGATAGGTAATGTCAAGGAACATCATGTTTTAAGGTTTGAGCCAAAATCAGCGTTTGGACCGGAAGTTGATAACATTGGAGAAAAACACCCTTGAGACAGGAACTAGGCAATTTACGCAAAATAATGAGTGAGGTCATATTAAATTATAGCGGCAATCGACACTATATACAAATCCCGAAAAAAGACCCCCTCTGAGTTAAACTCCTCTGACAACTCCTTTTGTTGTTAAAATTCTTTTAAAGGGAAAAAGGATAATGGACCGTAGAAATGTGATAATTTGGGAAGTATTAATGGTAAATGAGTAAAATTTGGCAGGTAGGACCCCCATGGGACTCCAAACCCAAACATGGAAAACTGACCCCGGGTGACCTTGAAATGACCTTTGGGAATTTAGGGCCAAAACTGCATGAAAACCCCAGAATCAACGGGAAACGGATGTGGGAGTCGATCATGTTACTTATAATTGGGAGGACACTTATCTATTAGGAACATAATCAGAAGCTGAAGGGGGTAAAGTTCTACATTTTGCATTGTAACAATTAAGTAATAGACTAACTAGAGTAGACTTGGCAAACATTGGGTTCAGCTTTGCTTGGCGATTAATCTATCAGTAGAAGTTCAACTAGACCTAGACTAAAAAAATTAGTCCCACAGGATATCGGCAGTGATAGTAGCGCGGGATAGAACGTAGGTCTCCTAAAATATATGAATGGGTGGGATATTTACTTAGCTCCCACGAGGTGAATTTTGCCACAATTTAACCCCCAATAGACAAATTAGGTTTTCCTTGGTAGCTAGAAGGTCGGGATTGGAATAAAGTAAAGATGGGAGGTCGGAACGTTAACGGGATAACTAAAAAACAACCTCGTGATATCTGTTAAATAACCGTAACCTGGTTGAGAGATGAAGTCAGAATTGATGTTTTCAAAGTTTAGCTAGAGATACCTATAATTAACATGGGAGTTAGGATCAGTTTCGTCAGTGGACGAACTCATTTAATACCTAACTTAAAGGTACCAGAGAAAATATCAGGACTTTAAGGGACGAACATAACTATAACAAAAACTAAAATTCAAATTGAAAAACATAGCAAAAGGTTAGCCGTACGTTAAACAAATTTGGCTACTAATGAGAGTAATTGGGTTCTAAAATTTAGAGAGAATACTTGGTACTGAGTTAGAGTATTCTTCTTTCTCTGTTAATTAGAGAACAAAATTTGGTACTAGTGAGAGCAGTTGGTTCTCCGTCAAAATGAGCAGTTTTTTGGAATTACGGAGCGTAATTGAATGTTTATAATTCTCTAGAGTGAAATAATTGTTTCCTTGAGTGACGATAGTTGATAAATTGCGGACCCTCTTCTCTTGATTAGATGATTAGATTAAATTCTGTATATTAAATACTCAGAGCCTTCTGTATTTGGAGATATTTTCATCTAATATTAACTACTAATAGAAACTCTTGCAATTGCGAGTGCGAGCAATTCAGCCACAAAAGTAGTGACAATAAGCGGCCAGCAACATAGTACGACACAGAACAATTCCCACCAACTTAACCCTTACGTAATTTTGGATAGTTTGAATCTCGGTTGAATCACTGAATTCTGTACACAAGGGACCACTTTGCGGTGTCGTCAAGAAAGCAAGAGTGACAGGGAGAGAACGAACCTAGAGTAGCAATTGCCTAAATCTACATCAAGTACTTAGTCTTTTTTCTCATCATAATTACAAACTTTAAATGTTTGTTTTTCAATCAAAATTAGTTTCGCTCTGATATGAGCACTATTTCTTCTTAGAAAAATAAAGTATTCCGACAGAAAACACCGAGACTTGTTTTCGGCAGTGACTATTTTCGGAAAAAGTCGTTTAAGTTGTGTATTTTTTTCTACATGTCTATTTAGCTGGAAAACAAACCTAACCCTGTTGTCTTTCACTAGATTGCAAATAGGAAAAATGTATTTCAAAATATAGCCTGTTACTTCGAAGAACACTCGCAATAGAAAAAACTAGAGCCTAGGTTTTTTTCAGCCCAATTTGGCCCCCTCTAAAAAAATTGTGTTGGGAAAAAAACTGGTATCATCATAAAGCTCCACAGTCTCTTATTTCCGATTGCAAAAAAAATCAAAACAAAAACTCCTCAGACGTGAAAAAATAGACTTTTTCTGTTTTCCGCTTTTAAACTGAATGCAATAAAGTTTGCATGTTTCTTACGGATTTTTCTTTTTTTATCCCAGTGGTTTTTTTTGAAAGCCATCGGTTAGCCCTGGCATTGACCCGCCTCTCCGCCCATTCATGTTAAAAGCTAAAAGTTTTGCTCTTCAACTATATTATCACTTTAAAGCACTCAATCGGATAGTTTTTCAGTTTGACTTCTTTTGGTTGAGCAACAATGACTATTCCTTCTACTGTAGGCTCACAGATTGTTCAAAAATAGAGATTATTTTTTTAAACAGCAGTTTTTAGCAGTTATAAACATGCGTTTTAAAAATAATTTTAAGAAATTTTACTTCTTCATCAGTGTTTTTCAATCGCTACAGAGTTTTTTGAGACAAAAAAGATTCTGGAAAATTATCAAGACATAGCTTCATATAATGATCGATCATAGTGAAATCTAAATTAAAATCAATTAAACTTTGTTACTGGATTATTATCGATTATATTCTTTAAAAAAATTATCGATATCAAATTAGATTTGACAATCATTGATCATTATGGGCAGCAATGTCCTGTAAACTATCCTTAATCAATTTTTTCCTAATAAGATATGAATTTTGAAAACGCTGATGAAAAGTTTTATTTTTTGTTTGATATTATTAAAAACATGCTTTCAATTTTAACTGAATAAAATAAATGATTATTTTTCAGTATTCTGCCCCATTCTGTGAGCCTGCAGCAAGAGCATTGGGCATTGCTGTTCAAAAAATTAAAATCAAATTTAAAAATTAACCAATCAAGTGCTTTAAAATGATAATATAGTTAAAATCGAAGATTGATACGTGCTAATTCGCGAAATTCATTCATATAAGAGCGTAAAACAGAAAAAATTAGACCAGTTTTCTTTCGAGTGTGAGACAAATTTTTTAATGTTTTTTGGCTTCAATATGATACCAAATTATTTTCCCAAGGAACTCTCTTGGGGTCTGCAAAGTTGGACGGAAAAGCAGGCTTCTCCGTATTTTTTCCTTTTCCTTCCGGTTCTAATGCACTTTGATTTAGAATTTTTAAATAAAAGATTTGAACATCTGACCTTCTCAAAAATTTTTCATTTTATAATTGCTGGTTTTAATTAATTTAAGTATGTCTATTTTAACTTTTTGCCCTTCTCTATTACTAATCACACTAAAAAATTCAAGAACAAATTAGAGCTTTGCTTAAACTTAACTATAATAAGTTGCAAAAAACTGAAAATTATAATGGCAAAAAGACAGAATCTTTACTATATTTAAGTGCGAGTGACAGCTATCTACCATGTTTAAGCATAATAATTTTTCGTGTTCAACGAAAGAGTTTTTCCATGTTTAAGCTATAATATATTTTGCAATGCTTGAGAAAATTTTCCACTTAGTTTTGCGCAAGGTTATTATTTTTTGCGAGGCCAAATTAAGTCTGCCTGCCTGTCTGTCTGTATACCTGCTTTTTCAATTAACTTGATTATCTATCTACCCGTCTCCTAATTTTTAAGTTTCAGCCTTCTTTGACTTATTATAATATGAAATGCAGGCTTCACTATCTCGCCATGTTAAGGCGTTTTCAACGTAATAATTGCATGTTTAACAAACGAATTTGTACACGTTTAAGCTATATCGTATTTTGCTCTGGTTAAATTTTTTTTTCGATTTTCCAGTTTAAATTCTGTGTTTATTTCATCATGTTTGAAACTAGCAACCTAATAGTGGGATTTTGTCAGAATTTTCCCAGGTTTTGCGATTCTGGCCTAAATATATGAATAACCAAATCCTTTTAGTTTACGAGATAAGCAATTTTCGAGACTTTTCAAAAATTTTTAGAAAAATTATTTCTGAAAAATTTCTCGATTTTCGAAACTGTCACCCTATAGTTAGAAGCTGTCAGGGTTCTCTCAAGGGTTGCAAATCTTGCCTCCAAGTCTCACTTCTCAAATCCTTGTAGTTTGGAGATTTGAAGTTTTTTAAGATTTTTTCGATAAATTTTTCAAAAACTTAGATTTTAAAAATCTATTTTTTTGAAAAGTTTATCAAAAAAATCTTTAAAACTTCCAATCTCCACACTACAAGGATTTGAGAAGTGAGATTTGGAGGCAAGATTCGCAACCCCTGAGAGTACCCTGACAACACCCAACTACAGGGTGAGAAGTTCAAAAATTGAGAAAATTTGAAAATTAAATTTTCTAGATATTTTTGAAAAATGTCGAAAATTGCTTATCTCGTAAACTAAAAGGATTTGGTGGTTCATATATTTAGGCCAGAATCGCAAAACTTGGGAAAACTGACAAAATCCCACTATTAGGTTGCTAGTTTCAAACTTGATGAAATAAACACTGAATTTCAACTGGAAAATCGCAAAAAAACTTTAATCATAGCAATATACGATATAGTTTAAACTTGAACAAAATCTTTTGTTAAACATGCAAAATTATTACGTTGAAAACGCCTTAACATGGCGAGATAGTGAAGCCTGCATTTCATTATATAATAAATCATAGAAAGCTGAAAGTTAAAAATTAGGAGACGGGTAGATAGACAATCAAATTAATTAAAAAGCAGGTATACAGACAGACAGACAGACTTAATTTGGCCTCGCAAAATTTAATGACCTTACGCAAAACTAAGTGGAAAATTTTCTCAAGCATTGCAAAATATGATAAAGCTTAAACATGGAAAAACTCTTTCGTTAAACATGCAAAATTATTATGCTTAAACATGGGAGATAGCTGTCACTCGCATTTAAATTTTGTAAAGATTCTGTTTTTTTTTTGCAATTATAATTTTCAGCTTTTTGCAACTTAGTATACTTAAGTTCTTTTGAAGTTTAATAGATTTTTTTTGATATTACTCAAACCAAAACTCCAAAGCTTCAAAAACAGCAAAGATCTAATTTTGTTCTTGAACTTGTTCTTCGTGAACAGTAATAGAGAGTAGCAAAAAGTTAAAACAGACATAAATAATTAAACAAACAATTAAAAAATGAACATTTTTTGCGGGTAAAAGCTTTTTTTTTCAGACAAAAAATATTCATCAAACTCACGTAAAGTTTCAAATTTGCATGCAAATTCTGCTCAAAATGGCAGATTGATCTTTATAATTAATTCTTTCTTTTTCAAATTTCCTGCACCTTTTTATAGTTGGCTTTGATTGAAAATAAATCAAATATAATTGATAACAATCAAAGAAAAATACCAAAGCTTCAAAATTACCAATTTTTCAATTTTTTTGAAATCTTCAGTGTGAGCAATTTGTTTGCAGGAAAACAATCAATCAAAATTTCATGAATTATGCAAGAAATTGAATAAAATTCATAAAAAATTGATTCCATGTTTCAAACTTGTCTAATAAATTGATTTTTTGTCCACAAATTTTGTCATGCAAATCCATTATAACCGATACTTTTCTACAAAAACTTAAATTTTCGTGCAACATTTTAAACAGTTTTTGTTATAATTAGTATTTAACGGCACCATTTTTGTCAATTAATTTTAAAACAAAAGAATTGATGCTAGAAAGGAAAACGCTTTTCTCCTCAGATTTTTTATTCATTGTTTTGCGAATTACTGTTCAGTTTTTGATTAGTTCTGCAAAAATTGTTCGATGCATCTGTGTTGGGCTTCATTGTATCATGACTTTAATAGCGTTTTCGTATATGCATTTTAGAGTTCAATTTCCTTAATTTTTTTTTGTTCACGTTGGGGTTAGTTAACAAGTGAGTTTCTGACGGTTTGCCGAGTTCACTATGCTCTAATAAAAAAAATTACACCAAAACCAAGAACAGTTTATCCCAAATTCACCAAATTGGCGTTATTTAATCAACATAGCTTCCCAAAATGTTTAGTTAGGTATCAAAATGTTTTACATGACATCAAAATTCCCTCTAAAAATTTAAGTTTAAACTCCGAAATAAGCCTGAAAAAAAATATTGCCCGATTTTCTGATTTGTTCATCGGAAGTCGGAAAAAATAAGACTTAGTGGGACCCAGTTTCGTTCCCCGATTGTGTTGAGATTACGTTTTCATTACATTTTGATAGATTAAAATTTCACTTACGTTAAACTTAGAATGAAGCTTTCATCGCCTCGTAAATTAAAACTTATTAAGCGAAATTTTTACAGTAATTTGAATAAAAAATTGACAAAGTTTTCGTTAAACAGTTCAGTTGATATTTATGTTGACAGGTCCTTTATTGATATTATATCTTGCATTTTTAATGATCATAAAAATTTCATTGATTTTTTCCTTGTTTTGTGAAAGCAATTTTGAATTCTCTCTGAGCCAATTTAATTGGCTGTGCTCGTTAGACTCTAATAAAAATTAGAAATATCTCAACCATAATTTTTACCTAATCGGACAAATTGTCAATAATCAAATCAACATAACTTCTCAAAAATTGGTCGCAGGCAAACTCTAAGTTTATTCAAAGGAATCATTTTACCTGTGAATAACTTTTGAAAAGTTATGTGGGTCTAAAGATTGCCATTTTGAGATAACTAACGCTCCATATATTTCGCGCTATTGACGCGTAAGCGGAAATTTAATCCGTCTCAAAAATCGTTCCAAATTAGTTGAAGAAAACTTATTTGGCATAGTTGATTTGCTACTAGGAGCGAAGTATATGACTATGTACTTTTTATGGCGTGTGGGGGTTGGGATGACTTTCACAAAAAATCTCACAAACAATCATTTTTATTAAATTTAATTTTTCCATGTTATTACTGCTTCAAAGACCTTTAAAGCCAGTTGGAACAGTCAAGGCTTCGCCCTGATACGTGCAGTCTGGTTTATTTTAAGCTTAAGGTATGAAAACAATTAAGATGGCATAAAATGTTTCCTCCAAAATTGCTAGTTCAAATTCCGAAATTTGTCGGAAGAAAGAAAATCAAGCCGATAATATCCCCAGCCAGGAAATCGGTAATTCACCAACCCTGGTACTTTTTACGGCAACTATTTTAGCCGACAATTGCAAATTTTTTGGAAATCTAGGACCCCTACATCACAGGAAAAATCAATTCAGTCCCCCCCCCCCCCCCCGGTTCAAAGAAAATTTTATGCAAAAAGAAAAATCAGTTTCAATTGAGCTTATGGAGATTATTTGGCAATGTTCATTTATATTGTTGGTACAAAAGTGGGAAACAAACACAGCTCAAAATATTGAAGTCAACCAGAAATAAAAGCATAGACAGTCAAGCCATGAAAGACATTCAGACCTTACAAAACAGTTAATAGACATGACTCGAATAAGTACACACTATACAACTCGCTCTTTTTTCTCTATAATGTTTACTAAACGCCCTTTGGAAGTTTTAAAACAATCATGATTTGTTGCTGTTGTTTTTAAACAAGAATTATCTGGCTTAATGACATATTTTGAGATTACGACCAGAGGATAGTACATTCGTGTTCTTTCAAATTATTAACGATTTAGAACATTTTTTTTAAAATCCGATTTAAATATTACTAGTATTTTTATGTCTACAGTCAAAATCAGCAGTTTTTTTGTTAACAGGTGAGTTAATAAAGCTGAACTAAAAAATTGATGTTCTCTTTAAGAAAAACTGTCGACGCTCAGTTTTTTGAATCTTGATAAAGTTCCTAAAAGCAATGTAAGCAATAAAAGCAATATTAATACCTACGCGACATTTGCTACGTCATATTCGAATAAAGAAAAAGTATTGTCTGTTATTAATATTTTCATTCAATTGAAACTGGTTTTCATCGACATGCTGAACAAAAAAGTTCCATTGATCTACGCGACAAAAAACTAACAAGCAACTGTGAAGAATTACTGCAAAAAAACTAATTGAGAAACAAAATAACGCTTTCAGCTATGCCTCAATGACCAATTGACCATGCTCGAGCGAGCATAAAGTATATAATTAATAAACAAACTCGTGTCTGCAAATCGGAGAGGGTGGAAGGCCTTTAAGCCTGTCTAAGGAAAATCGTTTTCTTTTATTTTCTCACCTTTTCTTTTTTTTTTTCGTCCTCGCATACAAGTATTGCCAATGCTGGCTATTCTATATGAAATTTTTAATGGAACTGCAATTAAAATATAGTAGAGTTTGCCGGATTTTCAAAAAATTTCTGGGTGAGAATGTTTTTGCTATCGGATCACGTTACCATCTAATCAGTTGAGCACTATGATAAGAAACGCATTGAAATATAGTTGGTTTCAAAGAAAAACCGGAACCCAGATTCAATAAACTGCTTCCAAAAAACTCATAACAACAAGTTGAAACAGTAGAAAGTATCATTGTTCATTATTAAAATTCGAAAAATTTCATAATGTAGCTCAAAACATATCTTACAATTTTTTGTCGCTTAGGAAACTGTATAGTACTGAGCGTTCTGGGTTTTAAGCAATGAAATCATAATTTGTTTCTCGTACCCAGCGGATTTTCTATGCAAGATCTGAAATGATTAATTTTTTCTACATAAGTTGACTCTCGGATCTGAAAACTGGAACCTGATCTAAACTACATTTTATGATTGGATAAATTAGATATTTTACCACTGTAAAGTATTTAATATTAACCAATCATGATCCATCTAACTAACAACCCACTTATTTGTAAGTGCTGAAATTACTTGTAATTTCAGCACCAGAGAGATTTGAATTTAACTTAGAAATTAGTTGAACTCTCCCGAGTACTTCAGCAGCCGCAATAAACCAGTATACCCTAGATCTATTGAGCCTAGCAGAGACTAGTTAAACAACCTGAGACTAGATAGTATAAGAGTAAGATTAGGATCGGTATTAGACTAAGAAGTTGCACGAATCTATCCGGCCGAAAATAAGATAGCGTGACGAGCAGACGGTGTACCCTATCCGAAATTACTCTATGAGTTATACACTTCGGTCCTAACTCATCTGGTGCGACCATAAGTCTCGAACAAGACCTTAATAGCTTAGAATTAACCAAAAATAGATTAGAATTTAGACAAAACATTTTTAAAAATGTTACACGACGATAATTTAGTCGAAATGTCTCTACGACTCAATAGATCAAAGCCAATATTCCGAACGATAAGAGAACTACCCGGAATTGCAAGAAGACCTCGAACCAGAGACGACATACGACAAAGTCGAAACTTACCATATAGTTATATGATAGTTCGGCAAAAGCCAACACAAACTTTTGTATTTAGAATACTACTAGCAATGAATTTAGATTTTCATTTGCAAACATAAAATCTTGAAGTCAATCTTCAAAATCATTTCAGGCGCTAAACCAAATTATTAATATACAATAACGATTGATAAGGAGATCTCAGATCGTTTTCCTAAATTCTGCAGTAATATACAAAACATGTTTGAAAAATATTTATTGAAAAATCAAAATAAAAATTAGTAGCATGACAATAAATGGTTAGTAATTATAAATCATCCTGTTGTTCCAGCTTCATCACCTAAACATAACAGCATTCATAAGCTCACTAATATCATAAAAACACTAAATCTTTTCTCTACATAAATTTAAATCACTTTAAACTTAATTTCACTTAAATTTAAAATCGGATCATCAAGGCTCATCCTTGGATCTTAAATCTTTTTCTATTTAATTAAATTTAAAACTTGATCATCAAGGCCTCTCCTTGGATCAAAAAGAACAATTTTGTTCTCCCCCACCCACTTAGCTAGTGTCTAACGACCTCAAACGTCGATTCACTATCCAACCCTTTCTAAAAACCCAGGACTAACAGAAATTTTTGAACAAAACTAATCATTCAAATTAGGATAAACAGTGAAGAACTTCGGTTATTCATCCTTCACTTGATCCCCCCTCTTACCAGACCCAGGATAAATCTTAGACTTAGTAAGTTTAAAATAGTATCTAACGAACTACTCGCGTTCTAATTATACCTGAACCTTGTGGATCGATTTACTATTCTCCAACCCTGAACACAATCACTACCCTTAAGTAAGATTAAGTAAGTTAACACTTTAGCTTATACTAGCCACGAGAAAGTATAAAATCATTCTTCAGAATCGATATACTTTTCTCCCCAACCCTGAACAAATAGACCCAGGTTAGGCTAACCAAAAAATCGTAAGGACTAACAGTCTAAGTAATAGAAATCATTTAACAACCTTTTGCATCCGTCATCCTAAACCGTATGTCATTTAAAAACCTAGGAAATAAACAAACAATTGTTTTACACAATTGTGAAATAGATAACAAAAAATACGATCTTGTAATCACACCACACACACAAACAGTTGGATATATCAGAACAAAACGACAAACACTAAAAAGAAAAATAATAACCAAACAAAGACAAATTACACGAAAAAGATTTTCCAAAAACCGCAACGCATTTTCAGAATCAGAAACCAGCAGTTTAGACGAACTTTATAAATTGAAAGAATCTATAGATAAAAATTGCCCCATTCACGATCAATTATATTTTTCCGACTCAGAAACGACTTCAAATTCATCAAAAAGAGGAAAAAGAAGAATAAAAAATCAATATAAACACAAACCAGTACATTTATACAATTGGAATCAACCAATTAGACACATTGATAATTACATATTAACAGTCATCAAACAAAAAAATGAGCTCAACATACACCCCAGGTGAAGAAAGTCCAGATGATGATGATATCTTCCCCTTTATCGTAGATGCAACCACTGATAGAGGACAGCATATATTTTGCAAAAATTTACTCTTAAATTTGTTTGAACCCGGAATCAGTCCGTGTAAAACAGAGTTCCCAGATGTAAAAATCAAAAGACAAATTATCGATCACTATTTGAAAGATATATGTAACTTAACACAACAATACGGAATCTACTCCATAGAATTCAACTCACCAAACCAGAATCACAGCAAATATGTAATTCAAACAGACGACCTTGATTTAGAATTCTCAAAAGTATTCTCAGCATATATAAAAAGCATACAATATCATAACTCACAAAGAGCAAACTCCATATTCACCAATGAAGTTTTTGCAATAATATATAGTTATATCTCGATATTAGAAAACGAAATCCCAATCACAAATGTTTCACCGACAGAAACATCTAAGCATATAAGAGTACGACATGAAATCACACTACTCTCTAGTTTTCTAAATATAATTAAAGAAAATTTCACGAAAGATGAAGTTTCACAACATACAAAACACGACTTACAAAAAATTTTGGCATGGTTCATAATAGATTATTTCACACATAATATTGATTTAATTTCACAAGCAAGAAAAAATTTTAGACCCCAAAATTCAAAAACGATGATACTGCCATCACAGAACAATCAGACTATGTTTGGGACCCGAATAGTCTCATCCCGCATTCATAAACTTCCCACAATCAATCTCAAGTCAAGCAATAAGTACGATATCTTATGTAAGAGATTATGTAAGAGTAATACCATTAACCATTGATGCAACACCATTAAACTATAATACATTTTTACCTGATATGCAAAATAATAGTTTAAACTCCACAGTCATACACAATGAAAACCTCAATGGAACTAGAAATCTCACTCAACAAGATATCCAGACACCATCACACTTTATAAATGAAGAAATCGTACACACAAGAACTACACAACAAAGTATTTCACCAATACGTCCAAATTTAACAACACCAAAAAATACAAACCCTTCACAAACACAAGTAACATTACAATCAACCGTTAAACCTTCGGTTGCCCCAAAATATTCACACATGGATTATCAAACATACAGACCCATGACAATACCGTCAAAAACACGTAAAACGTTCACTAGAAACAATTTTGCAGAACATAATTATAATTACACACATCCATCAAAAACAAATTATCCCCCACGAAAAAATTTTAATAATTATACAAGATCTCGAAACTGGGATAACCCAATGGCACAAACTAATTCAGTAAACTTTCAAACAAATTTACATCCTTCACAGGATCGTAGTGAAAACTATCCATTTTTTCAACAAAATAAAAATAAAAAACAAACATCTTATCAAATGGATTACTTATCCTCAGATGATGATTTTTTACAACCAGATATATTTGCACCGTATAATCAAGAATATCGTGGACAAGGAGTACAGAAACCACATACAAATCATAGAACTTTTTCTCCACAACCGATAGATAGACAAAATCAACCACCAATTCAGCAACAAAAACCAATTAATACACAATATTTTCAACCAATTCAGCAACAAAACCCAATAATCACACACTCGTATCAACCGACACAAATGCAAAATGAAATACCACTCCCATATTATCTTCAACAACACGAAATAACAAGAAATCAACTTTCAAATTTTTCTCAAATGCCAAATGCAGCAGAATCATTACAAATGACAATGAATCCATACCTTATGGGTGGATCATCAATAACATCAAATAAACCTTTAACGGTTTTCACAGGAACAGACCCTGAATATTCTGTAGAAGACTATTTAAATGCAGTAACAGCAAATTTGATTTTAAATATAGGACCTGAACCAATTAATACGCCACTACATCAAAACTGGATACATCGACGCACAG